CGCTGCGTCGCTCGCAGCGTCCAAGCCTCAAGGTAAATGCACGCGGTAATCGCTTTCACGCGCCTTACAAAATGTACTCGCAGGGCGTACTCGCGCAGGCTTCGTCTGAGATACTCTAGTCGGCGGCAAGTAGGCAAGCAACGTTTCTTCGCGAGTCGTTGTTTCCTGTTAGCGACGCTTGTTTCGGCTTTAGCAGCACCCTTCTGCCATGGCGCATCCCCTTCCCTTGCCCATCGCGCAACCCCATCGTCGAATTCCCCTCACCACCTATCGCCGTGTCCCGCGCAGCCCAGCCGAGCCGTCGTCGCCTCGCAGCTGCGCCCGCCGTGATCCGCGCCGACGCCGCCCCCGCGGACGCCGCGGCGGTGCCGCCCGCATGGCCGGGGCGGGCGGAGGCGCCGGCATCGCCGCACGACTGGGCCGCCCCGAAAGCGATATCGCTGATCGGGTCGACCGGCTCCATCGGCACGCAGGTGAGCCTCTAGGCTCCATCGGCGCGCAGGTGAGCCTCTAGGCCCCATCGGCGCGCAGGTGAGCCGTCAGGCGCACAGGTACGCCGTTAGTCACGCAAAGGAGCCTCTAGGCGCGCCGGCGGGGTCTGTGGCCAATTCGCTTGATTCTCTTCCCGCTGCTCTTTCCGATACATGAGCTCCCTTCTCCCCTCCCTTGTTCTCCCCCCCTCTTTCTCTCTCCGTGATTGTCTCGCCGTCGCCCCCTCTCTCCCTGCCCCATTCATCCTTCGCTGGGCGGCAGACGTTGGACATAGTGGCGGAGCACCCCGACAGGTTCAGGGTCGTCGCGCTGGCCGCCGGCTCCAACATCGCGCTCCTGGCGCAGCAGGTGAGGCTGGCGCAGCAGGTGAGACTGGCGCAGCAGGTGAGGCTGGCGCAGCAGGTGAGACTGGCGCAGCAGGTGAGGCTGGCGCAGCAGGTGAGGCTGGCGCAGCAGGTGAGGCTGGCGCAGCATTGCGCTATTACAATGGCGTGACAGGCGTGACAGGCACACATCATCGCGTATTTTCCCCTCCACCTTACCGCCCAATCCTCGCTCTCTCCCTCCCCTCCATTCTATCCCGTGTGCGCCCCGCCGCCCGTCCTCCCCTGCCTTCTGCCCGCTTCCCCCTCCCCCTTTGCGCGGAGCAGGTGCGCCAGTTCCAGCCGGCGCTGGTGTCGGTGCAGAACCCCGCGCTGGTGGGGGAGCTGAAGGAGGCGCTCGCGGGGCTGTCGCCCATGCCCGAGATAGTGGCGGGGGACGCGGGGATCGTGGAGGTGAGACGAGGGAGAGAAGACGGGGGGTGGGAGGGAGAGGGGAATGAGGCGGCGGCTATCAAGAAAGAGGCAGGTTGAGGTTGAGGGTGGAACTGGTTAGCGCAGCATGCATTCACCACCATGACCTCATCTTCACGCTTTTCCGTTGCTGTGCTCGCGACGCAACAATGTGCGCGCTTGTGTGCGTGTATGTGTGCGTGTGTGTGCGTGTGGTGTGCGTGTGGTGTGCGTGTGGTGTGCGTGTGGTGTGTGTGTGTATGCATGTGGTGTGCGTGTGGTGTGTGTGTGTATGCATGTGGTGTGCGTGTGGTGTGTGTGTGTATGCATGTGGTGTGCGTGTGGTGTGTGTGTGTGTGTGCATGTGGTGTGTGTGTGTGGCCTGCATGCGTGTGCAGGTGGCGCGGCACCCTGACGCAGAGACAGTGGTGACGGGCATTGTGGGGTGCGCCGGACTCAAGGTACGGCTGGTGGCTGTAGTGTGTGTGAGAGGCTGGCATGAAAGAGAGATGGGTAAATTGTGAATGGGCACATTGACCCAAAATGTTGAACGTTATAAGTCTTGCACCCTGCAACACTGGCGGGGAGAAGGGTCACTCAATGTCAAGCGAAACAGAGTTGGGGAGTTGGATTGTGAGCCGCACGACCGCTTTGGTGCTCTGGAAGTCCCAAGATGCACGGCACTTTCAACCTTCCTGGTGCGCGAGTGTTCAGGGTACGCCGGCCCAAAGCACAGCGAGCACCGCTCCTGGCCCCATGTTCCTCACTGCCTGTGTGTGTGCATGCATGAATGCCTGTGTGTGTGCATGCATGAATGCCTGTGTGTGTGCATGCATGAATGCCTGTACCGCTCGCCTGCAGCCCACGGTGGCGGCCATTGAGGCGGGCAAGGACATCGCCCTGGCCAACAAGGAGACGCTCATCGCGGGCGGGCCGTACGTGCTGCCGCTCGCCAAGAAGCATGGCTGCCACATCCTGCCCGCCGACTCCGAGCACTCCGCCATCTTCCAGGTCCGCCCCACCTCTGCTCCCCTCCGCATTTCCCCCCTCCTTGCATGCCCTTTATGGCCTTCGTTTCTTTGCCGCCTGCTTTCAGTGCAATGCAGCATGCGCTCCCCTCTGTCACCCACGCGGCCGTTCACGGCCATTCCTCCCGAGTGGTTCCTTTTGAAGCGTTATCCTCCTCCCCTTCCCCCATCTGCGCCCCTCTGAACCCACTTGGACTGCCTCGGATTAGTCTTACCCCTGCTTGGCCCACGTGGACAACCCCGCCCCCCCACTTTCCCCTGTGCGCGGCAGTGCATCCAAGGGCTGCCAGAGGGTGGTCTGCGCCGCATCATCCTCACCGCCTCCGGTGGCGCCTTCAGGTGCCTTGTCACACTGCCGTGCCCCATGCCATGCCATCTGCCCTGCTACATCCCACGCGCCATCCCTCTGTTTAAGCACACGACACGACGTCACTGCTCGTCGCTGCATGCATTCGCACCTCTTGTATCCTCTCAGCGAGCACACGCCATAAGCCCTTCCCCTTTCTATAGCCCTGCCTGAGTTGTGAGTGCGGTGCATTGTTCTCCCTCCCCCACATGCCACCCCCCCAGGGACTGGCCCGTGGAGAAGCTCAAGGACGTGAAGCCGGCGGACGCACTGAAGCACCCCAACTGGAGCATGGGGCGCAAGATCACCGTGGACTCCGCCACCCTCATGAACAAGGTCCGCGGCGGACAGGGGGGGGGGGGGAGGGGCGGGGGGCAGGGGATGGGGGTCAGCAGTCAGGGGAGGGGTACAATACAAACAGGTCACTACACTTGAATTCAAGCAAACAACATGGATATCACAGTTGAGTCTCACATGGGATGGTAGTGAACCAGCTGCTCATGCAAGGTTAATCTTCTCAGAACCGTGGCCCCCAACCAAACCACCACCACCAGTGCCTCACTGTTCCAAAACTGTCTAATTTTCGAAACATGTCCGCCCTCTTCAACTCATGTGGCGCCCAGCTGCCATGCATTGCCATTGCCATCCCACCGGCAGGGGCTGGAGGTGATTGAGGCGCACTACCTGTTTGGCGCGGACTACGACAACATCGACATCGTCATCCACCCGCAGAGCATCATCCACTCCATGGTGGAGACGCAGGTGAGCATGGTCGACACTTGTGCATGGGAGAGACACTCATCAATCCCTCACTGTATTGCCTTGCCCGTGCTGCTCTGCCTCCTCCCCGCGCCTCTCTTTGATTCTGTGCTGGCGTTGCATCCCCCCCCCCGCCCCTGCGCCCCCCAGGACTCGTCGGTGCTGGCGCAGCTGGGGTGGCCCGACATGCGCCTGCCCATCCTCTACACGCTCTCCTGGCCCGACCGCGTGCCCACCTCCGAGATCACCTGGCCCCGCCTTGACTTCATCAAGTGCTGCCCTCCGGCCCTCATGCCCTCATGCCCTCATGCTCTCATGGCCTCATACTCTCATGCTCTCATGCTCTCATGCTCTCATGCTCTCATGGCCTCATGCTCTCATGCCCCTTCTGCCCGCATGGCCTCATGCCCGCCTCCTGCCCCTCATGCCTCTCATGCCCTCCCGCCCCTCATGCCCCTCTCGTCCTTCATGCCCTAATGCCCGCATGCCTTCATGCCAGCATGCCGGCAAGCGCTCTTGCCCTCATGGCCTCCCGCCCCTTGTGCCTCATGCCCCTACTTTTGCCCTCCTCACTCCCTTTGCTTCTCATGATATCGCCTTTGACCTTTCTTTAGCCTGTTTCGCCTCTGCTCTGCTGCAATTACCATGTCTTATTTCAGAAATGTGGAAATGCTCTTTCTTCTCCGATACCAATCGCGTTCTTGTATTTTGTCTGAACCTCTTGTCTTGACATTTGGCCCCTTACCGTTCCCCTCATGCCCCTCGTCCCACTCCACCTGTTCCCATCCCCCCACCTGTTCCCACCCCCCCCCCCCTCTTCCCCCACCCTTCTCCTTGTAGGATGGGCGACTTGACGTTCCGGGAGCCCAACCGCGACAAGTACCCGTCCATGGACCTGTCATACGCGGCGGGGCGGGCAGGCGGTACCATGACGGGCGTGCTGAGTGCGGCCAACGAGCAGGCGGTGGAGATGTTTCTCGACGACAAGTGAGCCAAGCTGCTATCATGGCCTTGCCACGCTCTCATGCCTCATGCATGAGGAGAATATGCATTCCACACTTGTCTATCTTGGCATACTCAGGGGGGCCTGCTGATCATCTTGTCCCCCCCACCTCCCTCCCCCTCTCACAGAATCTCCTACCTGGACATCTGCCGGGTCATCGAGAGCACATGCGACCGCCACCGCAACGACCTTGTGGTAGCGCCGTCGCTGGAGGACATCGTGCACTTCGACCAATGGGCGCGCGTCTACGCCGCTGAGGTGGCGTCCAAGCTCAGCACCGTCTCTGTCTGAAACCGCGCAGGGCAAGCCAATTGCACTTCCTTCACTCTGGATACCGGTAGATGACAGTTTTGGGATAGCTTTTACTTGTAGCTAATATATGTAGCAATATGTTTATCATGACCGGGTGTATCGGTTTTAGTTCTATTCTACTACCGTATGAGTCGCAAATTTCGCGCCTGTGCCTCTTCCTATCCCTGCAACGTTATTCATCCCAACACGATCGTCCACGCGTTAGTCCGACATCTGTAGTCCCTCCCGGGGAACACGTCCGAGGTGCTAGAAAACTTGCCAACACGAGTAGGCGGTAGAGAACTGTCCCCGAGTCGCGATCGCGCCACCCGCGTCTCCACGTAGCTGTCCTCCGCACTCCTCGCCGCCGCACTCCGCGCACCCAATTCACAATGCCTCCAGGTGCCACGTGCCTCCAGGTGCCACGTGCCTCCAGGTGCCACGTGCCTCCACTCCTCGCCCGCACCCCCTAATTCACTCCCCTCCGCTGCTCTCTCCTTCCCCCCGCCACTTCTCACTGCCCCCCTCCGCCCTCCTCTCTCTCCTCCCCGTCGCCCGCCATCGCCCGCCAGGTCCCGAGCGTCGCATCGGCGGTCGCCTGCCCTATGGCTCGTCGCACGCCGCCATGTCGTACGGCGCGCCCTTCGTCGCCACGTCCGCGCCCAAGCCGCAGCCCGCTGCGCGCCAAGCGCCAGGCGGGGAGGGATCGGGCAGGGGGGAGGCAGGCGGACTCAGGCGCCCCGCGAGGGTGGCGCGGCGGGCGCGGATGGGGGGGGGAAGGGCGCAGCAGGGGGAAGGGCTGTTATGCGGGGGCTGCGCGTGCCTGTGCGCAGTGTGCGCGCGGCTGAGGCCGTCGCGGAAGGCGACGTGGCCGTACGCGCTGGTGAGCATCGTGTTCGTGGCGCTCGTGGCGTCCGAGCACATCGCGCCGCTGCTGCCCTCCACGACGCGCGCGCGAGAGCAGGCGCGCTCGGCCGACAGAGAGGAGGAGGCGGCGGTGAGCGGGCCGCTGACACGAATAGTGAGGTGAGGAGGGGGGGAAGAGAGGGGGGAGCCTGAGGGGACGGGTGGTGATTGTGGAGGAGAGGCTCGGAGTGAGGGGCGAGAAGTATGAGAGTAAGAGGAAGGGTGGGGGGGAGGGGAACCGAGGGGAAGTGTGTGACGACGGGCGATGGCATGCTATTTGAGTGGCTCCGAGACGTTTCATTCCTTGGGGTTAGGCTTGTACTCACACATGCAATGTGTGTCTCCGTGTGACTCAGTGTATATGTGTGTGTGGGTGTCTCCCCGTGATGTGTGTAACATGTGCATGTGCATGTGCGTGCATGAAGCGCAGTGCAATGTGGCGAGCCCCATCACCTCCCACCGCAACCAACGCCACCACAGCTACCTCCGCACATGGCAGCAGCGGTGGTGGTGGCAGCAGCACGGCAGGGGGTGGGTCCAGAGGCGCGCACGCGGCACAGGGCGAGGGGGGCGTGGCTACTGGCGGGGCTGCGAGCCGTTCTGGGGGGCTGGAAGGCGAGCACGTGAGGCGGAGGGTGGGCGGGCAGGCGGGTGGTGGGGGAGGGGGAAGAGAGGCAGGCGTGGCAGGGAAGGAGCAGGCAGAGGGACGAGGGAGCGGCGGGGCGGGCAGGGAGGAGGAGGAGTGCTCCGAGTGCTGGGAGGAGGTGGATCGGCTGAGAGCGCTGCGAGCGAGTGAGTGACGCCATGTGCTTCGTGCCTCCACCTTGCACTCCCTCGTTCGCCTGCCCTGCTCGCCATTGTTGCTGTCCTCATGTGCATGTCTTCTCCTTATATGTGCATCAGAGGAGGGAGGTTCCAGTGGACAACTCGTAGCCAAGCCACATGGCAGCGGGGGGGCAGCAGGGGCGCGCAGGCGGCTGCTGGTGCAAGCAGCCGGCACGAGGGAGGGCGTGCAGGCGGCAGTGGCAGCAGTGGAGGCGGAGGTGGCGGAAGTCAAGGCCAAGATGAGCGACCTGGCGGTGAGATGAGCGACCTGGCGGTGAGTCGCATGCCCCACTTCTGGCTTCGGGTCTTGTGCCCTCGCTCTCCGCCCATCTCCCTCCGCTTCACGCCCTCTGCTTCCCCCACTCGCTGTGCTCCCCCGAGCTGGCAGGTGGCGGTGGAGCAGCTGGCAAAGGAAGCAGCCAACATCCAAGCCGTGCTGCAGGGGGAGGGCCACTGGGCGTCAGACAACCTCACGCACCAGGTAACCCTCACGCACCAGGTAACCCTCACGCACCAGGTAACCCTCACGCACCAGGTAACCCTCACGCACCAGGTAACCCTCACACACCAGGTAACCCTCACGCACCAGGTAACCCTCACACACCAGGTAACCCTCACGCACCAGGTAACCCTCACGCACCAGGTAACCCTCACGCACCAGGTAACCCTCACGCACCAGGTAACCCTCACTCACCAGGTAACTCCTCATGCACCATGCCACTCCCAGTTTCTCTGTGCAACCTTCAATGCACTCCTCCTCAACCTTCAGCACACGTGTTGTTTATTGAGAGCAAAGTGATTCCGTGCAAATCCTATTCTCATGCACCACCTGGCCCACCTTCCCTGCCTGCCAGTGCAACCTTTATCCCACACGCCTATCCCTCCCTCCCCCCCCCCCCCAGTTTCTGCTCTCCTCGTCGCCCTCTGACCCCGACCGCTGTGCGCCGCTCTCTCTAGACCGCCGCGCGCTGCAGAGGCAACCCAAGCGCACGCCCAAGGGGCCGCCACTTTCCTGGAAGGTCAGCAGCACAACCAACCGACCGATTCACAACCCTGCTGCATTTGCTGCTCCTGCTCTCTCCTCTCTCATCTCCCCTCCCTCCCTCGCTTTCTCCCTCCTCTCTCATCTCCCCTCCCTCCCTCGCTTTCTCCCTCCTCTCTCATCTCCCCTCCTTCCCTCACTTTCTCCCTCCTCTCTTCCCTCCAGGCCTCTCACCCACCTCCCCACACCCTGTCCCTCCGTCGTCTGCCCCTTGTCCCTCAGGGCTATGCATGTGAGGCGGCCCCGTCGCAGATCCAGCGGTACACGGACGTGGAGGCCAGGGCGCTGTGCCCCGACGACTGGTTCTTCGTGCAGGACCTCGCCTTCCTCAAAAACTGCTTCGCCCTGCCGCCCCGTGCCTGCCTTGCCCGCACGCCGCAGCACCCCACAGAGGTAAGAGTGGTGACTGGTATGAGATGAAACTAGCAGCTCCTCACCAGAACGGTTGTAGGGCAGGAAGGGCAGGAAGGCCTTAGGCAGCGAACGTTTTCCTGCTACCGTGTAGTGCCGGGCAGCCTTCATCACCACCCACCACCTCACCGCTCTCCAACCTTCCCCCAACCCCCTGCTGTCGCTCCCAGCCGCTGCCGTTCCCGCGGTCGCTGTTTGAGCAAGCAGCCCTGGCGGACGGCAGTGTGCGGTGGGGGCAGCAGCAGTGCGCGTCGTTCCAGTGCCTCAACAGCCGCGCGCTGGGCGACTGCCGCAACTGCTTCAACCTGTCGCTGGAGAGCCACCGCTGGCAGCACCGCTTCCGAGGCAACCCCACCATGCGAGACGTCATCCGCATGAAGAACGGCTCGCTCAGGTGCGCCGCTGCTGCTGCCTGCACGCACTGCAGCTTAAGCGTAGTTGACGCTTGTGCCCCACTACTTGGCCCATTCTTCTCTCTCTACCATATCCTCATCACTCCCCCTACATGCCCCCACCCCTTTCTCCCATGCTGAATCTCATGCTGTTGGGCCGCCTGTCCCTCTCTCTCTGCCCACTTCTCTTTGCTATCCTCTGCAGACTGGGTCTGGACGTGGGCGGCGGCACGGGCAGCTTTGCGGCGCACATGGCGCTGCAAGGCGTGACGGTGATGACCACCGCCATGAACTACGAGACCGTGTCGGGCCGCCACGCCGGCCTGCCGTACTTCGAGGCCATCGCCATGCGTGGGCTCATCCCCCTCTTCCTGCCGCACAAGGTGGGCTCATCCCCCTCCTCCTGCTGCACAAGGTGGTCTCATCCCCCTCCTCCTGCCGCACAAGGTGTGCCTCATGCCGCACAGCTCCCCATCACCATGGCCCATGGCTCTGCCAGTCAGCCTCGCCTGAGTCCTGCGTTGCCTGGTCGCTCACCCGTTGTGCGCTGCTCTCCTGCCATCCACTCCCACCTCTCATTTCCGCCTCCCCTCTGCGCCTCCACCCCTTTTTATTCCCCATGCCCTGCCTTCCTGTGCCACCAACCATGGCTGTGGCACCATGACCAGGCGCGGCTGCCCTTTTACGACAACACGTTGGATGTGGTGCACAATGTGAACAGCGTCAAGTACATGCCCGTGCTAGAGTTCGAGGAGCTCGTCTACGAGTGGGACCGCGTGCTCAGGCCAGGTCAGTGCTGCGCCAAGGTCAGTGCCCTGCTGCACCACACTTCTTCATCCTGCCTTACCTGCTTCGGCTTCCTTCTCATCTATCTTAGCCATTGCTGTCTCGTCACAATTTGATCAAGTTACTCCATTCAAGGTCGTTAATCTCCCTTCTCTCCCATTGCGAGCCCCCTTGCGGGTGTGTGTGGCAGGCGGCATCCTGTGGTTTGAGATGTTCTACGCGCCGGTGGAGGACATGGTGCTGTACGTGGCGGTGCTGGAGCAGCTCAGATACCGCAAGCTGCACTGGACGCTCATGCCCAAGCCCGACCGCGGTGAAATAGAGGCGCACCAGCTCTACCTAAACTGTGTCATTGAGAAACCAGCTAGGCGCCATGCCTTGAAGCCTATTGAATTCTAAAATGTGTTGCTGTTCTTTGAGCCAGCCTTTCCACAGGGTCAATTCCCCACTGCTGAGCACCCTGGGTGCTCTTGCCTCCAGTCCTTACCGCACAGCATGGTGCTGCCGCCGTGTGAGTTAGTGCCATACCAGGTAAGTGTTGCAGAATACTGTCAGTGCCGACCCAGATGTGTGGGTGTTGCGGCTGTGGTGAGCTGCTGCTGTCGTACTTGTTGCCACAATTGCAGGTATTCCCCCTACATGCATGCACTGCACATGCTTCAACTGCCATCGCATGGAGGTTGTGTGCGGGCGGCAACTCTGCATCTGCCAAGGCTGGGAATAGGTACTCAGTAAAATGCCTCCCGTGTGGGATTGGTACTAATGATGACACAAGCTCATCTACACTGGCGCCATCATCCCCCTGTCCAGCGTCCCTAGGCCTCCCTGAACATCAGTACACCATGCACCTCCGCCTCCCACTCTACCCCCCACCCCTAGCTGCCCCCCTCCCCCCCTCTTCTGCATTCACGAGTACAGCTTGGTGATACGTCTGGCCGCCTCCTCGATGTTTGCTCGGCTCCCAAACGCACTGGCGCGCACAAAGCCCTCGCCGCCCGGCCCAAAGCCACTGCCGGGCGTGGTGACGATGTCGGCCTTCTCGAGGATCTCGGCGAACACGTCCCACGACGACCGCCCGGGGAAGCGCACCCACACGTACGGCGCGTTGTCCCCGCCGTGCGTCTCAAAGCCCAGCGCCTCAAAGGTGGCCTTGAGGATCGCGGCATTGGCCTTGTAGAAGGACACCAGCGACGCCATGGCCTGGGGGGGGGAGAAGGGAAGGGGGTGCAGGGAGAGGATGTGGGGACAGAGGGATCACGAGGCATTAATAGCAGAAGGCATTCAACAGGCCGAAAGACCCTGTTTTCGCTGCTCCCATTCTCCCTCCTTGCCTCCCCCCTCACCTCGAGCCCCTCTGGCGAGAGGCAGGCGAGTCCGCCAGCCTGGGAGACGTTGCTGGCGCCGTTGAAGCAGGTGCATGTGACACGGTTGAAGTCCGCCCGCACCGCATGCCCGTCCGCATAGCGCAGCGCTGCTGGCACCACAGACCACCCCAAGCGCACGCCGGTGAAGCCCGCATACTTGGAGAAGGACCCCGTCTCGATGGCCACCTCGTGTGCGCCGGGAATCTCGTAGATGGACTTGGGCGAGTCGTCCTCGATGTAGATGGCGTACGCGCAGTCGTACACTATGATCGACCCATTGGCCCGCGCGAAGTCCACCAGCTGCTGCAGCTGCTGCCGCGACGCCGCCCGGCCTGCACGCACACAGGGGGAGGGGGACATGGGGACGAGGGGGAGAAGGGTGGATTGAAGTGGACAGTGGGACACAGGAAGAGGCGAGAGTGCAAGCGGGAACCATGGGTTGCTGCACGGACCCGTGGGGTTGCTGCACGGACCCGTGGGGTTGCTGCACTGACCCGTGGGGTTGCTGCACTGACCCGTGGGGTTGCTGCACTGACCCGTGGGGTTGCTGCACTGACCCGTGGGGTTGTTGGGCGAGCAGAAGAAGATGATGTCCGTGCGCGGTGCGGAGGCGAGGTCGGGGAAGAAGTCGTTCTCGGGCGAGCAGCGCAGGTACGACACGTTGCCAAACTGCTGCGTGTCCGGCACGTACAGCCCCGTCTGCCCCATCATCACACTCGTGTCCACGTATGCCTGCCATGCCATGCGCACCACACGTGCGCCAGAGGGATGCATGGGATGGTGAACGGCGAGGGGAGTTGATACGCGTCAAAGCCGCGCACGGGCCAAGGGGCACAAGGAGGAGGGGAGGCGGTGAGACTAGAAGAGGGCAGCAGCGGTTGGGGGTGGGATGGAATGGGACATACCGGGTAGGAGGGGTCTTGGCAGGCCATGGTGACGTCAGCGCCAAACATCATCTGGTTGTGAAAGAGGTGATGGATGGGGGGAGGGGAGACAGGAGGCAGAGGGGATTGTGTGTTGAGGACATATGCAGGGAGGGGCCAACAGGGGAAGGGTTGAGACTGTAAGAAGCCAGTTAAAGCGTGAAGAAGTGGAAAAAGGAAGGGCACGTGAGAGCATGAATGCAGTGCGCCGACCTGCAGCCTGGCGATGTCGCACTTGGCGCCGTCCGACACGAACACCTCGTCCTCGGTGATGCCCAGCTTGCCGTACCACGTGTTGCAGATGGCCGCGCGCAGGGCCTGACGGGGCACGGATAGGGACGGCGCGCAGTGAGCGCGGGGGATGACATGGGGCACGAGGCAGCACTGGGCCACCTTGTGGCCAGCTTATGAGAGATTTGTAGTGTGATTATCTCAGGATATTGCATTGACCAGTGCCATGACATCCTACTCCCCTATGAGCTAAATCCCACCCTCCTCCGCCCCACCCCACCCTCCTCCCAACCCCCTTCACGATTCTGGTCCCCCAATCGCCCCCCCCTCCCCCCCTGCTCTGCTCCATAGCCAGAACAGTTCACCTGTTCGCCCTGCTCTGCGCCATAGCCGGAGTAGCCCGCTGGCGTTGATAGCCCTTGCGCCCTCTGAGCGAGACAGGGGGATAAGGAGAAGGAGTGGAATACAGAGAGCAGGGCGGGGTAGAGACTGGCTGAGCAAACTCTTGCCATTCACCAGTTGCTGTGACGTTTGTTTCAGTCACCTTCCCTGTGCATAAAAAAAGAGCTTTACAAGCTTCTCATTCCCTGCGTAGTTCTGCTCTGCAACTTTCGTCAGTGCACAATCATTCGTCCCCGTTAGTCACATCCAGTCGCATTGGTCACACTCACTTCCATCTCTCTGCCCCCCCACCAATCTTACCTTGGCCATGGCGGCGGTGATGACGTCAGGGATGGGCTCCGTGGTGTCGCCGATGCCGAGGCTGATGATCTTCGCCTCGGGGTGCTTCTCCAGGTGCGCGCGCCGCCGCCGCGCGATCTGCCAGGGCCACGCGGGGGAGAGGGGGGTGCGAGGGGGATCAGGGAGGAGTGAATCGGCGGCCATGGGACAGAGGGGGGCGCGGCAGTGGTGCTGGCGGCCATGGGAGGCGGGTGGGGTCGTGCAGTGGAGAGAATGGATGGCTTGGTTTCGCGTGAGCAACGTGGGCGAGCAGAGAGCGGCGTACCTCGGGAAACAGGTAGCCCGCCTGTAGCTTTCCGATGTTGTGATTGCGCTTCACGCCCGTGCGATACTCTGCGACGTCGCACACAGGCAGGGGTGCATGGCGAAAGAAACCGACAAGTCGGAGTGAGTATTGACTACAGCCGGGTAAGAGGACCATCAGAACAGAAGACGACTGAGGTTGATGTCAGAGAAATGCGCGCGTGGCGATGGGCGAGCAACGGGCTTGCTTGCTCGTGTGCAACCTGCGGATGGGAGACGGCGTGAGTGGCGGGGTGAGGCATTGCGAGGCACGGCGATGTGGTCTGATGCAGAATGCACGTGCCTGAGTCGGAAGACGCGCGCACGGCAGTGACATTGGACTTGGCTGACGACGACCCGGTGCGCGCGGCACTGCACGGAAGGCAGTCGAGAGAGCACGGCGTGAGAGGGCGACAGACGATAATCCAGCAGTCGCATTTGTACGAGTAAGATGTCAGGAAGCGGAGTGTTGAAGGCGAGACGAACCAAGACCATCTCGAAATGGACGGTCGTTGCTTGTTGGCCGGACTCACCGTAACGAGGCTACTTTTAGTGGGGAAAAGACATGCGACGAGCTGCTGCCAAGCGACCCAGCGGCAGCGGCGGATCGAAGGCCGTGCGACTGGAGAACGACTGCTCGCTCTGCTGACGTGGCAATGGACGCCATGGCGATGAGCACACGCGAGTGAGTGGACGAAGGCGGCACAAGTTAGCCGTCAGCGACAGAAAACACACGAGAGGTCTCTACTCTGGGAGTGGAACAGCAGCAGGGTGACCTGAATCTCGATCGATCTGATCAGGCATCAAGATTCAAGCCTTGAGCCTGGGGATTGTCTGCAAACTGGCAGGAAAGTTTGAGAGGCGGGCAGGGGATGAGTGGCGTGAGCGGATTGGGCAGTGGCGCGGATGCGAAGAGCGGATTCGCTGGAAATGGCGGGCGCTGCTGGTGGGAAGTGCGGAAGGCAGGAATTGGCGCAGGTGAATGGGACGGGTGCCGTGGATGATGCGGCTGCCGTGATTGGTGCCACGATGGTTATGCCTTCACCGAGACATGAGAGATCTCGCCACGTCAGACAGCCTCCAACATAAAAAGTTCGTCACTGTATTCATGATGCACCCTGCTTCCAACATTATCAAAGGCTACACGACCATCCAATAACGAATCACGCACTTGCGCATCACCAAGAGCCCAAACTCTGGGATCTCCGTGCCTGTCTGATTATCTCGTGCGAGATCTGTGGTGGGTCCATCAAAATTAGGGTTTTGATTCCCGCAACTCGGCATCCTAGATCCCATCAGTGTCAGCCATAATCTCCTCTCTCCCAGATACCATCTCGCTCAGCCAGCATGTCAGGCGGCGGTCTTGCCGGGAACAGCTCTCTCGACGATGAGCTGTGAGTGCCTCGGATCGCGCCTTGACTGTTGTGACTCGACTGCATCATGGAACGACCCTGACTGCTTGTCTGCTTTCTCGGCGGCTGTCCCATGTATGTCGCGTCCGTCAACCCTGTCGATCTCACTGCCACCTCTCGCTCCCCCCCCTCGCGGGATGGCAGGGCGCGGAGCCACGTGGTGCGGCTGCGCGGGCTACCGTTCAGCGCGACGGAGGGCGACATCACGGCCTTCTTCAACGGGCTCGACATCGCGCCGGACGGCATCGTGCTGCAGCTCAACTACCAAGGTGACGCTGCTGCTCGTCGCTCATCCCTCCGCTTGGCGTATCGCGATCCTCGCGCGTCGTCTTGTTCGCCTCGTGCCGTGCCGTGCTGTGCCGTGCTGTGCCGTGCGTCGCGTTCCTCTCACATGCGTCCTCTCGCCTTCCGTCGATCCGCTCCCTCTATGCCACGGCAGGTCGGGCGACAGGTCAGGCGTTCGTTCGCTTCGTCGATTCCGAGAATGCGACCAAGGCGCTCGACCGCAACAGGTGCGACGAGCCGTCGCGCATCCACGTCGCACGTTCATATCACTCTTCTCCGCTGCATGCTCGCTAATGCTGTCGTCCACTGTGTTCCAGGCAGCACATCGGATCGCGCTATATCGAGGTTTTCAAGGGCCACGTAGCAGATATGGAGGTGCGTGCTCGCGGTTCGCTTTGAAGCTGTTCGCTTTCAGTCGTGTGCTCGTGCATGCCTAGACCAGCTGCTGCATCTCACTCATGGTTACGCTGGTAACGGCAGTGCCACATGTGGTTACCACGGTAACGTTCATTGGATAGTGCAATGCTGTGCGGCTAGCCGGGATAGCGCAATGGAATGGAGTAGAAGTGTGGTGGATTGGATTGGATTGGATTGGATTCTCATGGAATGCAGGGGGCCTTGCGGATGGCTGGGCGGGGCGCGGCTGCTGCTGGTTCGGGTGCTGGTGGTCCGGGGGCGGGGGCGGCCAATATGGGCATGGCTCCCAATATGGCGGCGGCGGCATCTGGGATGGTTGCGGGTGGTGCGGGTGGTGGGGTGCCAGGGATGGCGGGCAACACGGACATGCGCTACAGCGGCGTCATCCGCATGCGCGGCATGCCCTACAGGTGCGGGCCCTCTCAGGTGTCCCAACCATGCGCCTTGCCCTGCCATGCCATCCATGCCATCCATGCCATCCATGCCATGCAGGTGCATGCCCTGCGCCTGTCTCGCATCTCTTGCTATGCCTTGCTCCGCGCACTTCCGCGCCTCCCTGCGGCATCATCGCTCCCCGCGACTCCCCCAACGCCCTGCCGCCTCAATCGTCCCCCTCGCCCCTCCATCGCATTGTCTCCTGCTCTGTGCTGCCGGCAGCGCGACGTCGGCGGACATAGCGGCGTTTTTCAAGGGCATGCAGGTGGCGCACGACGGCATCTTCGTGTGCTCGCACCCCGACGGCCGCGCCACCGGCGAGGTCAGATCGCGCCACCTCCCCCGCTTGCGCTGCCTTGGATTCCTTCCTCCATGCAGCGCACGTCGCTCGTTCCTTCCGTCTCTCGTCTGTGGCTCGGTTGTCCTCATGCTTGGCCATGCGTGTGTCCCATGGGTGCGTGCGTGCGGATGAATGCGGGCGTGTCTGCGTGCGTGCAGGCGTTTGTGGAGTTCGCGAATGAGGAGACGGCGGCGAGAGCGCTGCAGCTGCACCGGGAGCCCATGGGCCATGTGCGCTCGCCACCCCTCGCTCCCTCTATCTCCCCCCTCCATGCTCTTGCTTCGTTCCCTCGCCCATGCGGGTTCTTGCGTCTTGCCTCCCATGCGTCAATGACGCTCTGCTTTCGCCACGTGTCTGCCGTCCGGCTCACTCCTCGCCCTCTTCTCCTTTCGCTCTTCCTCCTGCTTTTGCTCCTCTACCGTTGCCTCTCTCCACTCCTTGCCCCTCACCTCTCACTCACCCCCGCCCCACCATCTGTCCCCCTCCTCCTCCCCCCCCCCCCCCAGCGGTACGTGGAGCTGTTCCGCAGCACCAAGGGCGAGATGATGGCGGCGGTGCAGCAGCGCATGTACTCCATGTTCGGCGGGGGCATGCCGCCCTTCATGGGCCCGGTGCGTCCTTTCTTACCCGCATGTCGCCTCGCTGTCTCTATCGCCTCACAGGCACGCACCGGGCATTCGATGAGTCAATACTGACCACAGCAGCGCTGCGTGCAGCCGTGCTGTTCGCCTCCACGTCTCCCTTGTCACCACCGAGCCCCTGTGCGTTCTTCTCTCTCGTCTCGCACATCCCCCCGCTGTGTGGCTCGCAGGTGCCGGGCATGATGGGCTTTGGCATGCCCAGCTTGGGTGCGGCCAACCTAGCAGCCATGCACATGGGGGGCGCAGGCATGGGAGGGGCAGGCATGGGAGGCCCAGGGGGGGGCGCGGGAGGGGTGGGCGCAGCGCAGGCGGCGGCGGCGGCGTCGGAGAACGTGTGCATAAAGATGCGCGGGCTGCCGTTCAGCGCGGGGCAGGAGGACATTCTGGCGTTCTTTGAGGGGTACGAGGTGGTGGGGAACGGTGTGCACATCATGACGGGGCACAACGACCGCCCCACGGGCGAGGCGTTTGTGGAGTTCGCGTCGGCGGAGGAGGCTGGCCGCGCCATGGAGCGCCACCGCCAGCACATGGGCAACCGCTACATCGAGCTCTTCCGCGTCTCCAAGAGGTGGGGGGTGGGTGGGGGGGGGGGGGGGGGCGCTTGTGGGGCGCGTGGCCCTGCCTCTTGCGTCTGCTGTGTTGCGCCTATCGTGGGTGTGTGTTCCAGCCTCTTTCTCAAGTGGCTCTTGTGGCCGTCTGTTGTGGGGTGCATGCAGTGAGGCGCTGGTGGCGGTGCAGGGAGGATCGCTGGCTGGCTTCAATGTGGCCGGCGCCCTGGACCCCAACATGCAGCTGCTGCTGCTGCAACAACAGGTCAGTGCCGCCCGCTGCTGCAACAACAGGCCAGTGCCGCCCGCTGCTGCAACAACAGGCCAGTGCCGCCCGCTGCTGCAACAACAGGCCAGTGCCGCCCGCTGCTGCAACAACAGGCCAGTGCCGCCCGCTGCTGCAACAACAGGTCAGTGCCACCCGCTGCTGCAGCTCCATTTCTTTCACTTGGCCATCGCCATTCCTTCCGACTCCGTTTCCTCTACTGTTGCCCTCACGCTCCGCGCCTCCCATCCGTGTTCCCCACCCTCCTGCTGCTCCGCGCCTCCCATCCATATCCCCCACCCTCCTGCTGCTCCGCGCCTCCCATCCATCTCCCCCACCCTCCTGCTGCTCCGCGCCTCCCATCCATCTCCCCCACCCTCCTGCTGCTCCGCGCCTCCCATCCATCTCCCCCACCCTCCTGCTGCTCCGCGCCTCCCATCCATCTCCCCCACCCTCCTGCTGCTCCGCGCCTCCCATCCATCTCCCCCACCCTCCTGCTGCTCCGCGCCTCCCATCCATCTCCCCCACCCTCCTGCTGCTCCGCGCCTCCCATCCATCTCCCCCACCCTCCTGCTGCTCCGCGCCTCCCATCCATCTCCCCCACCCTCCTGCTGCTCCGCGCCTCCCATCCATCTCCCCCACCCTCCTGCTGCTCCGCGCCTCCCATCCATCTCCCCCACCCTCCTGCTGCTCCGCGCCTCCCATCCATCTCCCCCACCCTCCTGCTGCTCCGCGCCTCCCATCCATCTCCCCCACCCTCCTGCTGCTCCGCGCCTCCCATCCATCTCCCCCACCCTCCTGCTGCTCCGCGCCTCCCATCCATCTCCCCCACCCTCCTGCTGCTCCGCGCCTCCCATCCATCTCCCCCACCCTCCTGCTGCTCCGCGCCTCCCATCCATCTCCCCCACCCTCCTGCTGCTCCGCGCCTCCCATCCATCTCCCCCACCCTTTTGCTTCTCACAGCAACTGCAGGCAGCAGCAGCAGCGGGTTCATTCGGCATGGGGGGATGGGGTGGGATGGGCATGGGAGGGGGAGGGGGCGAGGCATTCTACGGGCGGCAGGGAGGGCCGTCAGGCGGGCAGGCGTTTGACCACTCGCAGCAGGTGGGACCCTTCTCTCCCTCTGCCTTACCTTCCCACATGCTCCCTCGCGCACACTCTGTGAACAGCCTCCCTTGCACCCTCCCGTTGACTAGCTTCTTTGTTCCAATGTCCCTTTGCGCGTGCTGTGCCCGTGGTGCTGTGTGTGTGTGAGTGCAGAATCAGTAGAGTGAAAGGCCATTGCTCTGCCATCGGTAGTCATGCCTCCTCAGTTATCGGACCAGTTAGATACATCAACCATGATCAACCATATATGAACAGAAATAGATGTGTTGCGGGCTTGCAGCCCTACATCATGAATCATGCAAAAATTTGATGAGCTTGGCTTTTGTCAAGACAACCCTCTTCACATCAGTGCTGCAATGCGCGGAAGATTGGTGTCACGTTCTGGAATCAGCCAGCGGAGCCAGCACGAGTGTGCAGCACACAGCTTGCTCTGAACCTTGCTCGGCTGAGCCCAAAAAGGAGAGGTGGAAGAGCAGGGCATGCTCAGCCGCTTCCACCGACATGCCTGAGCAGGAAGGCATGCTCCAGCGCCACATCCTCCAGCTGCTCCCTGCCGCTGCTCGGCGCCACGTGCCCCCTGTCGCCCCACACACGCACCACCACCGGCCTCTCGCTGTCGTCATACTCACTCTCCTCCCGCACCCTCGCTGCCCACTTCAACGGCTCCCACGGCCCCACCCTGGGGGGGGGTGGAGAGAACAAGGCAAGTTGGGGATGCGCAGGAAGCAGTGGATGGCGCGTAACACATTGTACATGGCACGAGTATGAACCATAGGGCGTGAAACACAGCACATGAGATGCATACCATAGTAATGTGCACCTGAAAGCGCAGTGGCTGGAGCCAGAGAGCAGCAAACCGAGCATAGCAAAACGAGCAGAACAGGGAGCCAAGTGGTTCACTTCACAAAGCAAAGAGTGGGGCGCGAAGGAGTGAGTATGGCATGTGGCGCACAGGGCAGCAGAGGGGGCCACACCTGGAGTCGTGCAGGGCGGTGGAGAGCAGTGCGGCAGGGTACCGCACCCCTGGCTGCACGTTCAGCACGGGGCACAGCGCCCTCAGGGCGCGGAAAGCAGCAGGGGAAGCCAGGGGGTCGCCCCACTCGTGGCGGTCCAGCACTGTGAGCGGCAGGGCGGGGTTGCACATGGACGCCAGACCGTCTAGGAATGGCACCTGGGGGCGGGAAGGGAGGGGGGAAGAAGTGGGGGGGGGGGGCGCAGCAAGGGATATAGTGGGCCTATGGTATGTACGGGGTGAAGCATGTGTGAGCACAAGAGGAAGTCCAAAGTGATGGGAAAATATGAGCTCCTGGCGATGTGGCTTCGCTGCACCACTCACATCCAGCACCACGGCTTGAAACAGGCTGGGATCCGCATTGACAGCAGCTGCCACCAGAAAGCCCCCCCCGCTGCTGCCTCTGGCCGCCAGCCTGTCTCGCCCCGCCCACCCCTCCCGCACCAGGTACTTCGCGCACGCCATCAAATCCCCCACCGCCCGACGCTTCTGCTCCCCACGCCCTGCCTCGTGCCATGCGTGGCCCAGCTCGCCGCCCCCCCTGGTGTGTGCAAGGGCGATGGTCCAGCCGCGGTGCAGCAGAGGCAGGCGGTGTGGCACCCAGTCCGCCGCCATCACCTCCCCGTACGCCCCATACCCCTCCAGCAGCGCGGGGCCCGTGGCGTCCGTGCGCCTGCCCTCGTGGTGGATGAGAGTGAGCGGCACGGCTGTGCCGTCCTCTGCTCTCGCCCACACGCGCTGGCAGGCCAGCCCAGGCACGCGCGATAGGGGTAGGGGAGTGCTGGGGGAGTGTGGAGGTGATGTCGAAGGGGAGATATCTATTGGCTGCTCCTGCTGATGCTGCAGCTGCTGATGCCTCTGCTGCTGCTGTGGCTGCTGTGGCTGCTGTTGGTGGTGAGGGTTGGGCTGGCGGTCGTACGGCTCCTGGTGCAGCAGCGAGAGGGCGCCCGAGGGCATGTGCACCGCACACACGGCTTCAGGCATCTGATGGGGCAGGGGGGACGAGAAGAGGAAGCCGCAGCAGGGGGTGTGAGGGGCGACAAGGGGGGTGTGCGGGGCGACAAGGGGGGTGTGAGGGGCGACAAGGGGGGTGTGAGAGGCAGGGAAGGAGAGGAAGTGGGGAGACTACAGTGGTGGCACATGCGGCAGCACTGGGGAACAGGAGAGTAGCATCAGAGGAGGGGAGGGAGAGAAGAGTGGAGGGCAATAGTAACAGTGATGATGACATGGTGGCATGACGGCGTGATGGCAGCACCACTCACAACAGGGGACGACACCATGATGCGCATGTCAGTGGCATTGTGGTCCTGGTTGCCCCCTGCCACCACATGGCACACCCGCTCCGGTAGCTGCACTGCCCGCGCCCACACCTCCACCTCCCTGCTCTCCCCCTCCCCTCTCCACTCCTCCCCTCCCCACTCCTCCTTTCCCCCCTCCTCCAACCCTGTGCCCTCCTCTCCGCCTGTCACCACTTCACGGCAGGCATGGCTGCTGCTGCTCTCCCCTCTCACACTCTCGGCCCCCGTGACACTCCTTTCCCCAGGGGGCGGCAGGGGCAGCAGCAGCAGGTGCGGCAGGGTGTGGATGAGGCAGTGGATGGCGAGGCAGCGGCGGAACACCTCTATGTCCGATATGACCACGTCTGATGGCCGCACGTCCGACCCCTCCACCCCGATGACAAGGCTCTGTGGCGGTCACAGTGTACAGGCAGATGGGGGGGGCGACGGGGGCAAGCCGCGAGAAATTGGTTAGGTCACACAAGGGCACACAAGGGCACACAAGGGCACACACGGGCACACAAGGGCACACACAAGCCGCCACCCATGCGCTCTGTTCTCACCTGCCAGCTGTCAGCAAAGTGCGCAGAGCCCACTGGCGCCCTCACTATGCGGTACTCCCCCACCCTCCCCTCCTCCCCATCACCTCCCCCGTCACCTCCCCCTCCCTTCTCCCCTTCTCCACCCTCTCCCACCCTCCCCTCCCTCTGGTTGGTGACGGCGTAGAGCCACCCCCCGTGGTGCTCCACGAACCACTGCACGCCCTCCTGCCGCCCCTGCAGCAGCTGAGGCGCCCCTTGGGGGCTGTGGGCGTCCAATAGATAAACCTGGTGGGGGGGCGGGCAGTGTGAGGAACAATAAGGAGAGGGGCACAAGTAAGAAGAGGCAGGCGGGATAATGGGAGTGAAATGACTCCATATATACATGCACCCATGCATGCACATGTGCACATGCACCCATGCATGCACATGTGCACATGCACCCATGCATGCACATGTACACATGCACCCATGCATGCACATGTGCGCACATGCACCCATGCATGCACATGTGCACATGCACCCATGCATGCACATGTGTACATGCACCCATGCATGCACATGTGGACATTCGCTTCAGTGCATGCGCACCTCCGATGAGCTGCGTGTGTTGAGGTTGAGGGTGAGGAAGCGCCAGTCCTTGGTGCGAGACACAGCCACCACCACGCCCTCCTCCTCGCTCCGCAACACCTCCTCCTCGCCCTCCCCCCCTTCCTCCTGCGTCCACTCCTCCTCTCCCTCCTCTACCCCCTCTCTGTGCTGCATCCGTGCCTCCCCCTCCACTGGACTGTGTACGCGCCGCCTCATCACCCTGTGCTGCACGCGCCATGGCGTGACACGGAGGGCGATGAAGCATCCAGGCGTGCAGCGTGCCACAGAGCAACATCATGGGGTGGCTACCTTGGCCATGTGGTGGGTAACTCAGCCATGGGGTTAGCGATTCGGCCAAGTGCCAGCCTTAAGGCACCTCACAGCCTGCCAACCTCTCGCTCTCTTTCTCCCCCGCCCAATGCTCACCTGTGCGACCTGAGTCTGTCGTCCAGCTGGGTGTACAGCACGTGCTGCGAGTCAGCAGCCCACTCCACCGTGGCCACCGCAGGGATGGGCGCGCAGAGCAGGCGGCCGGAGAGGGGCGGGGCGAGGGGGCGGGAGGGGATGGGAGGGCGGAGGGGAGTGGGCGCGGAGGGGAGGCAGAGGAGGAAGAGCGTGGGGGACTCGGAGGGGGAGAGGTCGAGCAGCAGGGCGAGCAGCCCGTGGCAGCGGCTGACCTTGCACTCCACCAGGCGCACGTAGCCTGGTGCGGGGGGGGTGTGGTGGAGTGGAGGGAATAGATGGGCATGACTAACCATACTGTGGCCCAGGCAGGCAGGTGGGGAAGCAGGTGAGGATGCGGGGAGTGAGGGAAATGGGGGCCACAGGCAAGACTGAATGAAAGGCAAGCAGGCAGCAGGGAGTGCGAGGGTGCCAGGGATCACCGTAGTGGTCCGCCAGCTCATTCAGGTCGGCCAGCACCTGCTCCCCTTGCTCCGCCCCTTGCTCCGCCCTTTGCTTCACCCTTTGCTCCTCCCCCTGTCTCTCCCCCTGTCTCTCCCCCTGCCCTCCCCCACTAGCGTTCTCTGCAGAGCTTGTGACAGCCGGTGTGCGAAAGAGCACAGGCAGCTCCCTGCCGTCTGGCACCCGCGCTCCGTACAGCCTGGGGGGGGGGGGGGGGGAGTTGGTGTGGGGAGGGGAAGAAGGGGGCGGCTGGGGGAGGGTGTGGTGTGGGGTTCTGAAAAGGGAGAGTCATGGGATGTGGGGAGGGGAGAAGGGAGCAGGTGACAGCAGGCGTGGGGAAGAAAGAGGTGTTGCAGTGAGAGCCGCACGTCACAGCACCCACCATGCCTCTCCCACCCACCCACCCACCATGGGCCGCATGGCTCAGGAGGGGCATGAGTGGGCGGAGGCATGTTGGCCTCCATCTCCGCCACCAGCACGCACTGCCACTCCCGCATGGACCGCGCTTGCCGCGCTGCCATGCCCCCATCCCGGTGCTCCGCTGGGCGCTGCTCCTCCGCACGCCCGCCCACACGCGCGGGTGCAGCCCGAGGCGAAGGGGTTGGGCCGTGGGTGCGCGCCATGATGGCGCGCAGGTACGCGCGCTCGCGCTGCAGGTGCTGCCGCATGGCGGGGCTGCTCACGTCCTGCATCCAGCTGGCAGAGGGGGGCGGGTGGAGAGGACACGCACACAGAGACGCACGCATGCACGCAGAAGGCCCGGGGTTCAGAGCAGCACAATGAGACGGCGGCACAGACTCTTCGGAGATTGAGTGATCATGCACGTCCCAACCTCGCTGCATCGATATGCTGTGAACATCACCTGTACCAGTCGTCACCTGTACCAGTCGTCACCTGTACCAATCGTCACCTGCACCCGTCGTCACCTGCACCAGTCGTCACCTGTACTAGTCGTCACCTGTACTAGTTGTCAAATGTACCAGTTGTCACCTGTACCAGTCGTCCCACGTCTCCCCATGCAGCTCGAACGTCGCTCGCTCCCGCCTCGCCTTCGGCACACCAGCTCTAGGCGCGCCACCCCCTTCCCCCCGCTCGCCCCACCCCAACCACCGCGCTATCCGCAATCCGCGCCTCTCTCCGCCAATGATCCCCCTCAGCGACCCCCTTAGCGAATGCGCCCCTTCCGCGCCCCAGTCCCCCCAGTCTCCGCTCCGCCCACGCCCGCCATGCGCCTCCGCCGATTTGCCCTCCTGCCGCGTGAGGAGGCGCCAGCGCGGCAAATTCTCGCGCCCAATACTACCCGCAGCGGCAGCCCTTCCCCACTGCTGCTGCGACAGCGCGCTCCTCGGGAATTCCGCATGCGGCAGACGGGGAAGGAGGCGGAAGAAGCTTCCTGCATGCATGCTCTCGCGCAGCAGCACGCGCACTGTCGGCGGGACTCGCGGCTCATATGGTGACGACAGGGAATGTGCGAGTGCGAGGAGGGGGCGATCGAAGAGAGCCGATCTGGTTCGCTATTGAGCGATGCAGTACTTTGTCGTCCCATTACCTCAAAAGGAATAAATGAGTTGATTGTACACCAACGCAACCTCTTCCCCCGCATGTTCACGGCCCTGCCTGAGCCAGGTGTTCGGAGGAAACAAAATCAAACCTCGAGCTGTTGTTACCCACGAACTGTTACCTCGAGCCAAGTGTTCTCGCCAGCATTCGTCCACGCCAGCAGCAAGCCTGGTGACGCGGCTCCGAGTCAAAGCTGGCCTCTATCTCCCCCCGATTGGCCCACCTCCAAAGTTCCCACATCCACCTCAGCTTTCCCGTTACAAGCATGCATGTGGTCCCCTTGCGGTCGCCTCGATTCAAGCAGTCAAGACTCACGACTGTGGTGGGCTGGTAGGTAGGCTAGGCAGTCCTTGCAGCTGCGTCATGCGCATTCTGCAAAAGCACCAAGCATGCTCAGAGAGCCAAGACCCAACAGGATTCCACCCCAGCGACCTGAACCAACTGCAGCAACCGCAGTCTAGACTCTAGACACGAGAGTGACGCCAGCCAGTCCGCTCCGCACGCGCCCCCACCCACGTGCATTGCGCTACGTGGCATCACCGCACTGAAGCTGCCTCGCCATGGAGGGAACGGCACGGTCCGGTCCAGATTTCGATTTAGTCTCTTTCGTCAGAGGCGTGCAAGCGGAGTGGGAGAGCGGTAGGCTGAAGAGCCAGTGGCGGGAGCATCTAGCGCGCCACGTGGACGGCCTTCGGCGCCACGTGCCGCATTTCCCGCTGCCGAGCATCACCCGTCAAGCGCGCGCAGACCCGGCTTCCGCGGATGGCGGGGAACGCCCGCCGGGACTCAGGGATGTGGGGGTGCGCGCGATTGGCGCGCAGCCAGGCGGAGGGCAAGGGGGAGGAGCGGAGGGAGCTGACTCGCGCGGGGACGAGAACGGCGCGGAAGGGCGGAGAAACGGCGGTGGTGCGCCACTTGGCGCAGTCGCGCAGGCGGCGCAAGCGGAGAGCCGCAGAGTGCGGAAGGCGAGCGGTCGGAAGTGGGGGCGCGAGACGGTGAAGCAGCGGATGGAGCGGTGGCGCCGAGAGCGAGAGATGATGATGCGCGCGGCGGAGGAGGAGGGGGAGGAGGAGGAGGAGACGCCACAGGCGGTGGCGGTGGAAGAGTTGTACGTGGCGCGCACCAGACACTACACGCCCAACGTGCTCACCTTCGGGTATGTGCCCCCCCTTGAGCCCGTCAGCCTGGCTCTCCCCTCTTGTCCTTTCGTGAGCTCTACCCGTCTGCCTCACATCCGACCATACCGTGCAGTCAGCGCCCTCCCCGTCTCTTGCCATCACCCCGCCCCCACTGCCCTGCGCCTTCCCCACTTTGCCTCTCACCTGTCCCCCCATGGGCCCCCCACACAATGCACCCCCCAATCCTCCCCCCCCTCCAATGAATCCCCCTATTCGCCTTCCAAATGCCCCCCCACTGCCTCCCCAATGCAGCTACTCGTTCAAGCAGTGGACGGAGTACTGGGCGCTGCTCACCACGGGCGAGCTCTACCTCGGCCTGCCCCACGGTGACCCGCGCCACTTCGACTTCCATGCAGACCGCCGCACCAACCCACACCGCTTCGTACCGCTCTCGCACGCGCACGGCCCGTCACACGAGTTTGAGTACGACGGGTGCCAGGTGGCGCTCTCCCCCGGGCAGCAGGAGGTGCGGCTGGGGAACGACGTGGTGTTTAAGAGGGTGCAGCCATGCGAGGCGGAGGACGGGTGCCGGCTGGACGGGCGGTTTGTGCACGAGGCGGCGAGGGACTTCGTGGACGCGGCGGAGGCGTCGGGGGTGAAGGGAGTGACCACCGTATCGTTCCGCCCCGATGGCACGTTCAGTGTGCGGGGCGGCACGGGGATACTGCCGTGTAAATCTGGGGGGAGGGGCGGGGGAGAGGGGGTGGGGGTGGGGATGGGGATGGGGAATGGGGAGAGGGAAGGGCAGGTGGATGACGAGGACAGGGGCGGACGGGGGGAATACGAGATACGGGGCAATGGCATCGAGCTGCGGTACGAGGGGGGGCGCGTGGAGGATGCCTTCTTCTTTGAGTACCCGGGGTCAGAGGGCACAGAGGTCAACATCAACGGCACCACGTACCACAGAGTGGCGGAGCACGGTGGTGAGGAGTGAGGGGGGGTGGGTGCAGCTGGCGCTGATGAGTGACTGATGCTGGCGGCAGCGATAGATGGGTGGCAGGACTATGTTGCACCTGGGTGGTAGGTAGATGGGTTCTGGATGGTGGATGCACTGTGCTCTGCATATTGCACCTTCGGAAAGTTGGAGTTGGTATGCATGCCTCCATGACCTCCTGCTCTGTACAAAGAAGCGGATGTGCTGTGCTGCAGTTATTTGTGGTGGTAGACTGCTTGCCTTGCAGCTGCACCAGACAATTGCAGCATGCGGAGTGTTCATTTGCGCCTGCACAGGCAACCAGCTCACTTTAACGAAATAAAGGAAATGAACTGTCAGAAACCCAGTCACTAACCACTGGGTTAAAAGGGCTTGTTGAATAGCAAGTAAGTGCGCCCATAGCCCCCCAGGCTCTGCACCTGTGGCCCTTCCCCAAGGATCTCAAGGGCAACCCCAGCGGGTCACTCAACACCCCCCCCCCCGCTGGGATAGGTGGAAGACACGAGCGCCTCTGTAGCGCTGGCACTGGGAGTTGAACCCAAGACCTTTGGCTCTGATACCATGTCAGAAACCCAGTCACTAACCACTGGGTTAAAAGGGCTTGTTGAATAGCGGGTAAGTGCGCCCATAGCCCCCCAGGCTCTGCACCTGTGGCCCTTCCCCGAGGATCTCAAGGGCAACCCCAGCGGGTCACTCAACAATGAACAGCATAACGTGTTACACAACAGTTTGGACTGCAGCTGTCTCTGGTTTGACTGGCCCCACACTCGCAGCCTCCAGTGGCGCATCCCCATGGGTTTGAGGCGGCTCTGCCTTGAGCAGCGGTGGTGCTGCGGGGACTCTACCTGCCTGCACCTGGCACGAGTTGCACGGGTACGGGCAGTCGATCAGTGCCGGGTCAAACTCCCCCTGGCTGACGCCTGCACTGCTGCCCTGGCTGTCCGTGGCTGTGAGCCAGTTGCCCACTGCCTGCACCAGCGTCTGCAGGGGAAGCAGGGGTGCGAGGGAACGGGGGGGTAGGGGAGGGACAGAGCAGGGGAAACAGGCTGCGATGAGAGCGTGGTTGAGGAGGAACCACATGCGGGTGGCTGAAGGAAGGAAGTGAATGTGCATGAGAGGGGAGAAGGAAAGCTGAGGGGCAGTGCTGCAGGAGGGAGGGAGGGAGGGAGGCAGTGGGTGATGAAGTGGGAAGAGAGGGGGGACGAGCATCACCTGGTTGTTGACGGTGAGGCGCAGCCAGTGGTCCTCGTAGTGGCTCGTGCAGTGCGTCAGGCACGAGAACACAAACACCCCGTGCTGCTGCTGCGCACCCAACTGCACCCCTCCCGCTCCTGCTGCTGCTCCTCCAGGCGTGGGCGGCAGGAGGGGTGTGACTGTGGCTGTCACTGTCGCTCGCACTCCTGGGGGGTTGGGGTCGAGGAGAGAGAGGAGAGGAGAGAGGAGATGGAGAACGGTGGAATGAGGTCGAATGTGAGACGATTTCGGATGGCCGCATTGCTCACAGTAGTGACTGCAGGATCACCTTGCAAGGTGGCGAGCTGTGACTGGTTGCACGTGTGCAGCTTCCTCAGGCAGTTGGCTATGAGGGCGCCTGAAGGGTCCGCCTCTGGCGGGGCCAGGGCGTGGCGCAGCTGGTTGGGGGGAGCGAGTGGGGGAGGTGGGGGGCAATGAAGATAGGGAGATGCACGGACGGATTCACGAGAGGAAAATGAAGAGTGGTTGGGCTCACGCTGTGATGGTGGCAGGACGAAAGCAGGCAAGGGAAGGAGGAAATGCAGGCAGCCTACCAGCCAGAGGTCGTAGTTGCTGTTTATCACAAAGACAGGCGTCTTGAGCAGGGGAAGCAGCTGCGCTGTCATGAAACACTGCCATGCCGCACAGCAAAGGGTGTGGCACAGTGATAAACAGGCATGGCATGGCGTGTTACCTTGGGAACAGTATGCTGTGCTACCCGCCAGCACCCGCCAGCACCCGCCAGCAACCGCCAGCAACCGCCAGCAACCGCCAGCCCCCGCCAGCACCCACGTTGCAACTGGTAGCCCTCTGCACTTGCGCACTTGCATCACACCTGGCGAAAGCATGCACCATCTGGTGGCAGCACAGCACACCTGATAAAAGCACATGTGATGAAAGCACACCTGATAAACGCACCTCTGGTGGCACACCTGATAGTGGTCTTCAGGGGGTCGAGAGGAGAGGCAGGAGCTGGGCAGACTGCCAGTCACATTCTGCCACGTATGCGGCATGAAAGCATGCACGCATGAGGGAGTGGGCCATGGATGCCTATTGACGTCAAACTAAAAGTCTGGCATCGTGACAGGGAACTCCAGAAGTAAAAGAGCATTTGAAGTCGTTGAGTGCGCATGGGAGGGAGAGGGGCGCACATGGATGGAGAGCACGGCTCGGAAGAGCGTCTGGGCAGCCCTGCCCCCACTGACGTCTGGACTGTGGCGGAGGGGGGAGCAGTATTGTGCATTAAGGACAAAGGCGAGTTGCCATGGCACGGGATGACACGAGGTGCAGAGGGGTGGGCTGGTACTGGGTGCGATGGTGCAGGGTGAGAGGAGATGCAAGATAGGGCAGAGGTGCAGCAGTCAGGGTTGATGCATGGTGTATGGGCGGATGTGCTCACATGTCGAGGAAGAGCCCCGAGTCTGCCAGGCACTGCACTTGAGCAGAGGGAGGGATGTGAGTGTGGCGAATGTAGTCACAGTGCAGATACACCACCAGGGCGCCTGCTGAGCACCCTGATATAAGCACCTGGTGGGGCGAAGAGGAAAGAGGAAACCGATGGAGGACAGGAGGTGCAGACATGCCAGGGTGATTCGAATCAACGCTTGAAGTGCGGCACGGGAATGCAAGTCTAGGGTTTAGGGAGGAAATGGAGGTGTGCATCCAACATTCGTTGCACACGACTCCCACACCCCTGCTCTCACCCGCTCTGCGGTGCCCATGTGGAATCGCGCTGTGAGGTGGGAGAGGAGGAAGTCGAGGATGCGGCGACCACGGGAGAAGAGAGGCGCTCCCTGGGGAGGGGTGGGTGAGGGGATGTGCGAGGGGGTGGGGGATGTGGGTGTGTGAGGCCGTGCAGGGAGAGAGGGCGAGGATGGGCAGGGATGCTGGGCATGAACCCATGCAGCAATGCCATGCAGTGCGCGCGCTCACACTCGGCGCACAGCAGCCGTGCGCGCCTCACCTCGAAGACCAGCGGTTCCTGCCTGTCGCCGGAGAAGGACGCCCCATCGCAATAGGGGAAGATGACCAGATTCCAGTCGTACAAGTCTGGGGGGGAGTTCAAGGGGTGTGATGGAGCAGAAACAGATGTTAGTCAGGACCCCGCATCGGCAGTAATAGAGTGATGTTACCATCGGGGTAATAGAGTGATGCTGCCTAGGTTGACATGTCTATCCGCACTAGGCACTCCCAGTGTCAGCAGCACGTTTAGAAACCAGCAGGAGTTGACTTGACCCACAGGGGGGAGCTGAGCATGCCTTGAAGCGCGAACGCAAGAGCAAGCAACAAGGACACGGCTGGGCCTACCCGGGCTGACATCGCTCTGAGCGGAGAGGATGCCCGGCGCGGGCAGCACGTCAGGGAAGTGGCGTGAGCTGCCCCACAGCGAGGAGCTGCGGTTGTAACAGTCCCAGGGGGATGTGCACCACGCGCCGGACTGCAGGGGGAGAGTGGGGGGGGGGAGAGGAGGGAACGAATGAGAAATGGAGGATACGAGGGCAGCTGTTAAGGGATGGAGGAGAGAGCTTGTAAGGGCGGAAGGAGAATCAGAATCAGAATCTGGTGTGTGCGCGGCTGGAAGGAGTGCCTGCCTGCGATCCAGCAGGCGTTCATGTCTGCGTGTCTGCATGTCTGCATGTCTGCGTGTCTGCATGTCTGCATGTCTGCGTGTCTGCGTGTCTGCGTGTCTGCATGTCTGCATGTCAGCATGTCAGCATGTCTGCATGTCTGCATGCATGCATGCATGCTCGAGAGTCGAGAAGCAAGGAACCTACATGACATGACATGGCATGGCAAGGCGTACAATCTGACAGGCTGGAGCAACATGAGGACTCATGTCGTGAGGTTGCAGTGTTACAATGGTGTCTGCATCTCTCCATGTCTCTACGTCCGCATGTCCGCATGTCCGCATGTCCTCATGTCCGCATGCCAACCCATCTCACCCGGAAGTTGAGCAGCCACTTGTTGGCTCCCCTGCCATGCCCCCTGCGGTAGTAGAACCCTGGCGCGGACCCGTCCAGGCACACTGGGATGTGTGGCCGGGGGAATGATGAGTGCAATGGCGAGAATTCACAAACCGCAGGATATGGACGTGGGATGTGACGAAATGGCTGCGGGCAGCAGTAGGCACAGAAGGAAGCTACACGTGATCTAACGACACACCCTGAACGCTACAGCCGGTCTGGCAGCACGTTCTGAACGCTACAGCCGTATGAATGCTACAACGTTATGAATGCACCCGCTCCTCACCAGCGCCAACCTGCTTCGCCTCCTCCACGATAAACAGCCGCACCTCCCTCTCCCGCGCTTCTTCGTCCTCCACTACCGCTCGACGCGCCGCTCCCGACGGCTCTGCTGACGCGCCTGCTACGCTTCGCAGATTCGGGATTCCACCATCTTCAATGGTGACTCTATCGGAGTCATCAGTAAAGGTGACTCCATCAAGTCTGGCGCTTGCGAAGAGGAGCGACAGCAGAAGCGTGGCGAAGAATGGCGTGTGCGACAATAATGGACTGCGAACGGAAGGCACCATAGCTGGTATGAGGAGAGAAAATTCTGCTGGAAGTCTGAGCAGCGCCTTGATAGTTGCAGCAGCTCGAGCCTTCAGAGTCTCAGCAGCTCGTGCCTTGGTAGCTCCGGGGCAGCATGACGGAATTCTCCGATGTTTCGATAACTATGCTCTCCCACATTCAGCAGGGTACCTGTACAAAAACGTGAACTTGGATTAATTCATAAATGATTAGCGCCATCAATAGAAGTACAAAGCCATGTCGTTAGATCTACATAAAAAAGAGAGCACACCATCACCCATTTGTGCTTCCCATGCGGTTCAAGCCAATAATTTCACATGGACGTGGGCCAATGGAATAATTACCAATATTTACATTCGTTGCATTCCCGTTGCCTTCACCCATTTTATTCAACTGGAACGAATTATAATCATGAAGGCTTCACAACCTACGCAAATATGACTTGCCACAGTGAATGTGTCTTGCTGCTACGAGATGTGAGCTATGTGCATGCAAAGCTGGATGTCCCTTCCATCACCCCATCCCCCCCACCCCTGGAACAGCGTCCACCGCTTCTCCTCCCCTAGATTCGCAATGGGAGCTGTAGCATTGACCATCATCCAGTGGTCCTCATCCCCCAGCTCAACCGCCTCTATCCCATCCTCTCCTATACTACACCCCGCACTCTTCTTCTTGCTCTTCTCCTCCCCACCCTTCTCCCCTCCGCTCCCACCCTCCTCACCACCCGTGTCTGTCCCGTTGCTCGTCACAGCAGTAGTGTCACTACTGTTGGTTTCGGCCTGTGCATCCGCCTTACCAGGCGCCACCCTCCCCGAATGCAGCCCGCACGACCCCACGTGGTGAGCGCTGGCTCGGGACCAGCGTAGCGACCAGGAGGAGGGCAGGCGGCGCAGCACGGACGACCAGAGGGTGAGGTCCCAGTTGTAGTCGTCGTACAGACAGAACGGCTGGAGGTGGAGTTGGAGGTGGAGTTGGAGGTGGGGGTTGATGGTCAAGACACGCGAGAGTGGGAACAGGGTAGACAAAGACGGCACGAGGAGGCACAGGCACTGAATACGGGCTGCCCGTTGCGAGGCTCACCTGGGCCTGTGCGCGGATGAGCTCCCACACGCTGCGGTTGAAGGCGTACCCCACATTGCCCATGCGCTCGGCTTTAAACACCCCGGGCTCGTCGTCCTGCACCGTGTTCACGTTGGAGGGTGCAAGGTTGGCGGCGATGCAGTGGGGGCAGCGGGCGGCCTTGGCGCGGAGCAGCGCGCGCAGGTGGCGCAGGGCGTTGGGGAAGAGCAGATGGTCCTCCTCCACCCACACCACATGCCCCCCAAACCCCCGCGCCTCCGCCACGCCGCCCCCCCACACCGCGTTCATCGCCCACCACCAGTGGTGCTGCAGGGCGGGGGGGGGGGGGGGGCGCGGGCGGGGGGAGGGAGGGATGGGGAGAAGGCGAGAGACGAACATGTTTTGAGGGAGGAGAAGGAATGGGTGAGTCCGTGGAGGTCGAGCGAGCAAACACGGCGGCCAATCAGTCCCCCCTCACCTTGAGCGACACTCGCTTCGTATCTCTGAACGACCCGTATTGGTCCGCCTGTCCCGTGCACTCTCCCCCGCGTTTCCCCGTGGCGCCTTGCGCCCTCCCCTGGCAGTCCCCGGGGGAGGCGCCGGGGAAGGAGGCGTTGAAGAGGTGCGGGGAGAAGGGGAAGTAGATCTGCTTCACGGCGCAGAACGTGATCCCGCGCACCAGCGCGTGCATCGCGGGGTAGTACCCGTCGTGGCTGCGCGGGGGGAAAAAGGGGAGGAGGGAGATGCGGGGCGTAAGTAGACGGGAGGGAGGGAAGTTGATGGTAGCAAGTATGGCGCGAGCCTCGCCGCTGCAGGTGAGGTCAAGAGGGACAAGAGGGACAAGAGGGACAAGAGGGACGGGCAACGGCATGGGCGCACCTGACGACGAGCAGCGCGTCTTGGATGCCGTCCACCTTGCTCAGCGCCTCCAGCGTGTGCCGCAGGTACGCCGGCCGGTTGTGCACCAGCATCATGATCACCACGTCAGTGTCTCTTAATCGCCTCCTCCACGGGTCGCGCGTCCCAGCAGCACTACCACTAGTACTCGTACCAGTGCTACTAGTCCCCTTCCCTCCCCCGCGCCCCCGCACTTGCGCGTGGAGCTTCGCCAGCAGCCCCATCCTGGCGCCGCTCTTCAGCGCGTTTCCCGCCGTGACAGGCGCTCTCGCCGGCCGGCGATTCCAATCCTCGAGCCGCCGAGAAAGCGGCGAGGTCGGCGGCCATGGCTCGTGCGGGTTCGCGCGACGCCACGCGTCGAAGAACGATTGGGCCTCGCGTTCCTTCCTGCTGTTGAGTAGGTCGATCAGATTAGCGCCCGCCCTATCGTAATTCTCCTCGGTCTTTAAATCCATTCGCTCCGCCTCTTCCCGCATTGACCGCAGCTTTCCCGCCATCTCCAAATCGGCGCGCTTCTTGTCGTCGTTACTTGCACTAATCGTCGAATCCCCGCTAAACGCGACGTTTAACGACGCGAATCCACTTCGGAACACCTCCTGACCGCCATTTCCGGCTGATCTACGATCAGAAACGAGCCACGTGCCGTCTGCTATCGCCGCGTCATCAGATTCCGCCAAGTCTATTCCCAGCCGCGCCGCAGAATGACGAAACAGCGGCCATACCAGCCGCGGCACGCGGGCGTACCACCATCGGGTTCTGAGCTTCGCCAGCTGCTCGTCGATTATTCGCAACAGATCGCTCCTCCTCACCCACTCGTCTACACTCTCGCGCTCGTCGCTGGTATCGTCGCTGGCGTCGCTTGTGTCGCCAGGTTCGTCGCTCGACACCGAATCATCCTCGACGACTATTTCTTTTGTCGCAGGGGTCGCCCAGCCTTGCGGGAGGAGGGCGGCAGGGAGGAGAGAAAGGGGCGAGGGTCCTCCTGCGGGCGAGGCGGCGTGGAAGAGCGCGAGCGCGAGGAGCGCTTGGGCGAGGAGCAGCAGGAGGAGGCACGACGACGTGCACGCGGGGGACACATAGCGCCGGTAGTGCCGCGGAGAACGGACGCCGCCTAGGTTCTGAGCGTTCGCGGAATAATGAACGGCGATTAAAGGCCTAACGAGAGCTGCCGCACGAGGCGAGCCGAGTTGGCTGGGAATAAGACGCGCGAGGAACGACATGGGTGACGACGAAGGGATACAGCCAGCCCACAACCTACTGAGTGCACTTTCAGCCATGTCCAGTTCCTTTACGAAAAGCTTTTCACAGAAGCAAATGCCTCACGTGCGGTAGGCTTGGTGGACATGATGGTTGTTGGCTGGAATGCTCCAACGGCAGTTGTTCCGTTTGATAAGCGTGACGGCAGCGAGCAGACAACAGCAGTCAGGGGGGGACGAAACGACAAGACAACCCGCCGTCACCCGTGCCTGTAGGCGCTGCCGTTTCTGGACTGACCATGAAATGGGCGACTCGCGGTTGTTTGTGATGGTGACGGCTCGGCATGAACTGATCCGGGCCGGAGCTGCAGCAATCGAACGGTGGGGAGGAGAATGGCCCCAACACAGTAGCGGAGCGCATCCCTCCCGCCCTGCCTGCCTGCGACGAGGAGTGAAGCGCGGGAACGGAAGGCGCAATATTTTGTGCTGCGCCGTTTCGAACCGATAGGCTATCATAAAGTGAATGGACCAATGTGCAAGCCTATCGGCTAAAACGCCAAGTGTATCTCTACAAACTGTACATCTTTGATATATGCATGCACAATTTTGTGTCACGTCCATCACCCCATCCACCCCAACCCCTGAAGGAGCTAGGTGTTATCTTGTAGTCCCTAGGAATCAAGGGAGCTGAGCAATTTATGGACATCCTAGTATCCTCGGCTGTAATCACTATCTCCTCACCATCATCTTCATGAAGTAACTTCCACCAATGTTTGCTTCTTGTGCAGTTGCTGGTCTTCCCTTGCTTGCCTGCGTGAAATCCACACTTTCCGAAGTGCCTTGCACTTGTTCTAGACCAACGGATGGCAGATGCATGCGGTAACCGCTTCAAGACAGACCCCGACATTGAAGTGTCCCAATTGTAGTCGTCAAAATAGCAGAATGCCTGCAATTGTGTGCACATGTCGAAGTGCTGATGATATAAAAATACCAGCAAGAAAGAAGGAGAGGTGCATGAAGAATTTTACGAGAAAATTAAAGGGCCGCATACCTCTGCTTGCTTGTGGATCATGTCCCATACGGTGCGGTTGAAGCAGTAGCCTATGTTCCCCATGGTCTCCACTGAGAACGCCCGTGACCCGCTGTCTTGCCACTCATGCACGTCGGAGGGTGCAAGGTTGGCGGCGATGCAGTGGGGGCAGCGGGCGGCCTTGGCGTGGAGCAGCGCGCGCAGGTGGCGCAGGGCGTTGGGGAAGAGCAGATGGTCCTCCTCCACCCACACCACATGCCCCCCAAACCCCCGCACCTCCGCCACGCCGCCCCCCCACACCGCGTTCATCGCCCACCACCAGTGGTGCTGCAGGGGGGGGTTGGAAGGGGGGGGGAGCAAACGAGGGAGGGCTTGGTGGCGAAGCGAGGAGAGCCAAGTGCTTTGATCAAACGAGATATTGCCAGTGAACATCCCATCACCTTGAGAAATATTGTCCGTGGATCCCTGAACAAGAATTTGTTGTGAACAGCCCCTTACCTTCAGAGAGATAGTCCGTGGATCTCTGAACCTTCCAAACTGATCCACCTGTCCGCTGCAATTGCCAACCCACTCCTTCCCTTCCTCCAGTCCCCCTCCTCCTCCTCCACCACTTCCTTCTCCTTCCCCTTCCCCTTCCCCTTCTCCTTCTGCTTCTCCCCAGTTGGCCTCACTCCTAGGGAGCCTTCCTCGGCAGTCGTCAGGGGAAGCTGCAGGGAAGGTGCCGTTGAAGAGGTGTGGGGAGAAGGGGAAGTAGATCTGCTTGACGCGGCAGAAGCCAATTGCCCTCACAATGGCCTCCATCTTGGGGTAGTACCCATCGTGGCTGCATGAAGGAGAGAGGAAACAGTTGAAAGCATTTAGGAAAAAGCGAAGGCAAGTGAGATGCGGTGGAATAGGCTGACTTCTGTGCTGTAGTAAAATGCCACGATAAGCAGAGGGGTCATTCATATGACAGGGAGAGAAGCAGCATTGCAGGCACAACAAAATCTCCTTATGAAACGACCTCCACGCACCTTACAATGAGCAGCGCATCTTGAATCCCGTCCACTCGTCGCATGGCTTCCAGCGTGCGTCTGAGGTAAGCTGGTCGGTTGTGCACGTAAAGCACGATCACAATCTCATCGTCCCCAAGCAGCGCCTTGCTCCTGACGTGCGCCTGCTCTGCTCCTCGCTCACTGGTTGCTGAATTGCCGCTCCTTCCGAAGAGCCAGCGCACATCCCAGTGTGATTTCCGCGGGTTGCGGGGAGGCAACTGATTCCTTTCGGCGAGGGCAGAGGAGAGGGAATTTAGCGGCGGCCATGCCGCTTGGGGATTTGCAAGACGCCACGCGTCGAAGAACGCATCCGCCTCTCGCCGTTTCTGCTGCCGTTCGAAGTCTAGAAGCTTCATCTGACACGCGTCCAGGTCGGATTGGATCACATCGGTCATGGCGGCAATGGCAGCGCGGGTATCTAAGAGAAACTGGCGCTTTGCAGGAAGATCCACTGATGCGACAGAGAATGAACGAGTCTGGTTAGGCTTTAATGGGTCTGCTTCGCGAGCAATGGACGTGTCACCTCTGACTAGCGTCGCATGGTTCCCGTCAGCCCATGCGACAAACGCGACCTTCTGCGAAATCGTTTTCCCCGAGCCATCGCGTCGCAGGTCGTCGTCGATGCGTCGCAGCATGTCGCTGCGAGCCGTCGTGAGCAGCGCGCGACGCCCCATCTCCTCCACGGAGAAGAGCTGCGGGTTCATGAATCCGTCCGCTGCCGCCTCAGGGAATGCCGAGCCGTCGCCTTCCTCCTCGACATCGCTCGGCACGCGTCCCCCCTCGGTGAAATCGGAGGAATCCGAAAAATTGATTTCGTTACTTAGCAGGGGAAATGAGGGGTCATCTGCTCCCCAATCGGATTCCGTGCGTAAATTATTGGTGATCCGTCTGGAGGAGGGAAGTGCGAGGTGGTTTAGAGGAGGGAGGTTGACGAGAAGAATGAAGATCACGCCTTGCATGAGGAGCAAGCACGCGATGGCGTTTCGCACAGTGGTGATGGTGCGATGGCTGTGGGGAAGGAGCGACGCCATTTGAACCACGGCAGCCATGGGAGTCGTCTTCGAATACCATGCCAAACTGCCCGTAGCCGAAACGAACAATGCTGAACTACGAACCAGTTTCCGTATCCAGCTCACGTTGAACAACAACTCCTAGACACCGGGAAACGGCATGGAGTAGGCGCATTGGTGGAGCGGTCAGGTGATCAGGCGAGTCGTGTGTGTAGCCGTAGCGTGCGTGGAGAGACAGGAATGGCGTCAAGGAACGGAGGGAGTGGAGGGGCCTCAGGAATCGGGATTAAAGTGCTGGTGATCGCAGGAGCCAGGAGGAAACCAAGGTTGCGCGGGACTTTGGATTGAATCGATAAAAGCAGATTCGCGTGTATTCACGTCCTGCAAAACAGCGTCTTACTCACTTCCAGCTTCTAGCTCCATTTCGGGATTTCACTAGTGAGCCCTCACCTCACTATACAACCTCCTTCCATATCATAGCCATGGGCTTCGATTGAAGCTCTTTAGTGATAAAAAGGGACTCTATGCTGCTCGTATATGCCTTATTTCCCAACCTATACATACTGCAACATAAATGAAGCCATTGCAATAGATGCCATAGTCACATCCTACCCCTGGTGCCCTTCAAAGAGGTGCCCTATCATCTCATTCACCTGTTGCGGTGTATACTTGATATATTTCGTCTGATTCCGTAGCGTGGGTGCGTGTGTTTTGTGGAACAGGGCGTACAGTGATAGCAGCCTGTACCGCACTGCCTGCTGCAGCTCCCTCTGCAGCGGACCAGGGTTTACCATCCATGTCCGCTGCACCCTGTACACCTCCTCAAACACCACCGTGAATTGCTTGAATATTTCCTGCGCAGTTCGGAAAGCAGCACATGAATAAGACGGACGTCCTCATCCAAGCGTACACGCAAGCGGAGCTTATGCAAGGAAGAACTCACATTCAGCAAACCCTTGGGATAACCTTGAGGGAGCCAGGATTACATTGAGGGAGCCCTTGGGATAACCTTGAGGGAGCCCTAGGGATTACATGAGGGAGCCCTTGGGATAACCTTGAGGGAGCCCTAGGGATTACCTTGAGGGAACCCTTGGGATTACCTTGAGGGAGCCCTTGGGATTACCTCGAGGGAGCCCTTCGGATTACCTCGAAGGAGCCCTTGCGATTACCTCGAGGGAGCCCTTGGGATTACCTCGAGGGAGCCCTTGGGATTACCTCGAGGGAGCCCTTGGGACTACCTCGAGGGAGCCCTTGGGATTACCTTGAGGGAGCCCTTGGGATTACCTTGAGGGAGCCCTTGGGATTACCTCGAGGGAGCCCTTGGGATTACCTTGAGGGAGCCCTTGGGATTACCTCGAGGGAGCCCTTGCGATTACCTCGAGGGAGCCCTTGGGATTACCTCGAGGGAGCCCTTGGGATTACCTTGAGGAAGCCCTTGGGATTACCTTGAGGGAGCCCTTGGGATTACCTTGCGGGAGCCCTTGGGATTACCTTGAGGGAGCCCTTGGGATCACCTTGAGGGAGCCCTTGGGATTACCTTGCGGGAGCCCTTCGGATGACCTTGCGGGAGCCCTTGGGATTACCTTGAGGGAGCCCTTGGGATTACCTTGAGGGAGCCCTTGGGATCACCTTGAGGGAGCCCTTGGGATTACCTTGCGGGAGCCCTTCGGATGACCTTGCGGGAGCCCTTGGGATTACCTTGAGGGAGCCCTTGGGATTACCTTGAGGGAGCCCTTGGGATTACCTTGAGGGAGCCCTTGGGATTACCTTGAGGGAGCCCTTGGGATTACCTTGAGGGAGCCCTTGGGATTACCTTGAGGGAGCCCTTGGGGTTGAGGAAGGAGGTGGTGGGGACCTCTCTGAGCGGCGCCATGACTCGGGTCCACGCCACGCGCAGGTACTCGTTGGCCTGCTGCTGCACCGTGTCCGCTCGGTCCCGGATCCAGTCGTCGCCCACCAGCATGCGCAGCTCACTCTCCTTCACCTGTGTGTAGGGGAAGAGGAGAGGCACAACAGGGGAAGAGGAGAGGAACACCAGGGGAAGAGGAGAGGCACAACAGGGGAAGAGGAGAGGCACAACAGGGGAAGAGGAGAGGCACACCAGGGGAAGAGGAGAGGCACACCAGGGGAAGAGGAGAGACACAACAGGGGAAGAGGAGAGGCACACCAGGGGAAGAGGAGAGGCACAACAGGGGAAGAGGAGAGGCACAACAGGGGAAGAGGAGAGGCACACCAGGGGAAGAGGAGAGGCACACCACACCAGGGGAAGAGGAGAGGCACAACAGGGGAAGAGGAGAGGCACACCAGGGGAAGAGGAGAGGCACACCAGGGGAAGAGGAGAGGCACACCAGGGGAAGAGGAGAGGCACACCAGGGGAAGAGGAGAGGCACACCAGGGGAAGAGGAGAGGCACACCAGGGGAAGAGGAGAGGCACACCAGGGGAAGAGGAGAGGCACAACAGGGGAAGAGGAGAGGCACAACAGGGGAAGAGGAGAGGCACACCAGGGGAAGAGGAGAGGCACAACAGGGGAAGAGGAGAGGCACAACAGGGGAAGAGGAGAGGCACACCAGGGGAAGAGGAGAGGCACAACAGGGGAAGAGGAGAGGCACACCAGGGGAAGAGGAGAGGCACACCAGGGGAAGAGGAGAGGCACACCAGGGGAAGAGGAGAGGCACACCAGGGGAAGAGGAGAGGCACACCAGGGGAAGAGGAGAGGCACACCAGGGGAAGAGGAGAGGCACACCAGGGGAAGAGGAGAGGCACACCAGGGGAAGAGGAGAGGCACACCAGGGGAAGAGTTGAAGAAGCATGGACGAGCATTCGAGCAGGCATGGAGCAGCTCAAGAAGGAAGGGCTGAAGAGCAAAACAGTCAGGGGCTCACCTCGCGCACAATGCACCTCTCTCCTCGCATGTAGACAACCCGCCCACCTTGCGTGCGATGTACCGCCCACCTTGCGTGCGATGTACCGCCCACCTTGCGTGCGATGTACCGCCCACCTTGCGTGCGATGTACCGCCCACCTTGCGTGCGATGTACCGCCCACCTTGCGTGCAATGTACCGCCCACCTTGCGTGCGATGTACCGCCCACCTTGCGTGCGATGTACCGCCCACCTTGCGTGCGATATACCACCCACCTTGCGTGCGATGTACCGTCCACCTTGCGTGCGATGTACCGCCCACCTTGCGTGCGATGTACCGCCCACCTTGCGTGCGATGTACCGCCCACCTTGCGTGCGATGTACCGCCCACCTTGCGTGCGATGTACTGCACGTTATTCATCATGAAGACGTGCGCCAGCCCCGCGTCCTTATAAGTCAGCGCCTTCACCAGCAGCTTCGCCTCCAGCACCTTGAGAATGCCCTTGATCTTGCGCCCCACCTCGCGGTGCTCCTCCAGCGGCTCGCCCCAGTACCGCAGCCCATCCTCCCCCACCACTCCCCCCTCCTCCCCCTCCTCCTCCCCCTGCACCTCCTCCTCCACAAACTCCTCCTCCTCCTCCTCGTCCGACCTCAACCTTAGCAGCTTGGGCACGGGCACCACGACAGCATTACCACCACTGCTGTAGAGCTTGTTGATGGTGTCGCGGTACTCGAAGAGCAGGCAGAGATAGTTCACCACGTAGCTCGTCAGCCCGTGCACGGACCCCGTGGGCGGCGGGCGGCTGTCCTCCTTCTCAATGTTGCGCTCAAAGTCCGCAAGGATGCCGCGCACCGCCACGCCTACGTAGCTCAGCACCACGGATAGCTCGTTGCGCACACTGCGACACGCACCGTTGCCTGGGAGGGAGACAGGGTTGGGGGCAGGGGGCCAAGCAGCAAAACATGAGCGGCTGTTCAGCGCACAGTAGACCCAATTCACCACTTCTGTCAAGCCCCCCAATTTCTATTAAAGCTCGCATGGGCTAGTCCTGGGCCGTACCGCACACAACCGCGCTGAAGTCGGGCTGCAGGTCCTGCAGCGTCTCGTAGATGTCGAGCATGGCAAATAGCCTCTCAGGCGCCTTCTTGCCCGCCGCAAAGGCCTCCACGAAGTCAAACAGCCGCCCCATGCTGCCCTTCACCGTGTCCGCAAAGCATTGCTCACTATCCTGGCACGGGAACACCGGGAGGTGACGGACAACGGGGGCAGGGTGCAAGGGATAGGGGATGGGTGCAAAGGCCTCCACCAAGTCAAGCAGCAGCCTCATGCTGCCCTTTGCCATGTGCGCAAAGCACAGCTCGCTGTCGTGGCGGGGAAAAGGGTGGAGGCGGTTGGCAACGGGAGAGGGCCAGCAACAAAAGAAGTGGTTTTTGAGGCACCTCAAAAGAAGTGGCGCTTGATATGTGTGATGCGCAGATCGTTTCGTTCGGAGAGCTCCAAAGAGTCCCAAGCAATCCTAGTGAGTCCTCTCAGCACCCACCTCCACTGTGTCGAACACCCGTTCACAGAGCTTCCTCTCGGCGGCCAGCAGCACGCGCACCCCCCGCCGTGCATACGCCTTCCACAGGTCCACTCGGCTCGCCAGCTCCTCCCACTCCAGGGTGGGTACCAGCCGCGGGTCAAAGCGCCCCGCTGCCAGCTGCTTCAGCGACTCCTCTAGCACCGCCTGTGGGGGAAGAGAGGGAATGCAGGGGGGGGGGGGGGGGAGACTATTTTTGAGGCGCCTCAAAGAATGCAGGGGGGGAGGGGAGATGAGGAGAGGGGGAAGGAATGACGCACGCCTTCCACAGGTCCATCCCGCTTGCCAGCTCCTCCCACTCCAGAGTGGGTACCAGGCGCGGGTCAAAGCGTCCCGCTGCCAGCTGCTAAAGTGACTGCTCTAGGACTGCCTGTGCGGGCGAGGGGGCGGGGGGAGGGGGGAGAGTTGCGAGGCCACTCTGAGGGGAAAGACATGTGAGTCACGCCAAAGAAACGGCTGCAATACTGCGCCCACTCTGCTGCTTCCCCGTGAACCCGCCTCACGCCCAGTCCTCAACTTCCGACTAAGACTACCTTGCGCGTCACTTCCCATCCACTTACCTTGCGCACGGTACGGTAGTTCCGCCTGAGCGCGGGGGAGAGCCCCGCGCGCGCAGCCACGCGCGCAATGGCGTGGAGGCGCCAGACGGCGGGCTCGGGGAGGAAGGAGGGCGCGCGGTCGAGCGCGGAGACGGAGAGGGACACGGACGAGGGGGAGGAGCATTCGGACGACGCGGCGGGGGTGGAGGGCGCGGAGGGGGAGAGGGGCGCGGAGGAGCGGGGGGGCTTGGACACGCGGCGGAAGGCCTCGTTGACCTAAGGGCGGTGGGAGGGAGGAGCGGGGCGGGGGAAGGAAACAGGGCGGAAAAAAACCGGAAAAGATGGTGAGAAGAGTCGCGGGAAGGGGAACGGAATAGTGTAACCAGTGTGGGTGTTGGGGCGAAGGGTACGGACTGAAAGCGGCGAGTGTGCCAAGCTCAACACCGCGGCTCTGCTTTGCGGCGTTACAAGCACACGTGGCAGCCCACCATGGCGGCGTACCCGGTCGGGCGGCACGGCGTGGCTCTCCGCCAGCAGCACTTGCAGGAAGCCCTCCTCCAGGCGCGGCACCACGCTTCCCAGCACCGCCTTTGCCGTCTCGCGCACGCCGCCCATCCCCGGCGGCGCGCCGGGCATGTTGGCAGCGTCGATGAGGTCGAAGAGGCGCTCGACGGCCTCGAGGTACGCGCGCACGTCCACCACCGACGCCTCCCATATCGCGTTGCCCGCGCCCGCCGTGGAGGCGGCGCGCTGGAAGGGGGAGGCGGAGGCGGACTGGCGTGCGGGCAGCGGGTGCCATCCGCCGAGGACGGTGACGGAGGACTCTAGGGTTTCGAGCGGGGACGTGTACGTGTGCGCATGCGCGGCTGGGGACGCGTCGCCGCGCATGGTGGGCAGGGTGGCGGGGTCAATGGCGAGATCAGCTACTAAGTAGGGCGAGTTCGGGGTGACGCACTATCGCGAGGCCGGGGAAGAGAAAGTCCGTTGAAATCGCTGAAGCTAACTACCAGCACAGGCGGGGCAATGACGAGGTAGACTAGGCTGGGGGTGAAGCGACTACTGGAGGAAGGGGGTCTGTTGCTATTGTAGCGGCTACAATGGCAACGGAACTTGCGGTTTCGGCCTGATGACAGACGATAGCACGGGGTTGAGAGGTGGGATGGTCCTCGCTGTTAGGAGCTCGATGCAACGTCTTGCACGCATTACATTACAATCCTACACCGCTGGATGACATCAGCAACACTACAACATACAATTACAATTTTAAGAGGAAATGCCGACACTTCTGCTGCTTATATGCGCGCACAATCTGCAAGGAAATGAGTCGATGCTGAGACTAAGCGCACGCTGGTAATGACCCAATACTCCACACCTGCATCGGCAAGTACCGGTAGAGTCGGTACAAACAAAGTATTGGGCTGCTGTGAAAACCCATCGTGCAGAATGAGACCAGACAATACCATTCAATTCAACACAATGCGCCATCAAGGAGGGAAATTTGTCCGGTTTCCCACAGCACCTGCGCCAGGCGTGGAAGTTGGCGTATTTCACCGGGTCCTCAGCAACTGAGGCTATGGTGCGCCTTAACTCGTCCCGATGCACCAAATCCGCATTCAGAAACGAGTCCGGGGGAGCAAAGCTGTCAATGTCAGGTGCTCCATAGTACACTGGCACGGTGCCTGGATGGAGGACGCCGGGTGGGGGGTGCTCATGCGGGCAGGAAGGGGTGGTAATAGGAGTGATGGGTTGAGAGGAGAGGAATGGATACACAATAAGATGATAAAACAAGCACAGATGTCAACGGATTGAAATGAAACGAACTTGCCTCACTTGCCTCAGCGTCTCACCCCCCTAGGTCTCAACCCCCTAGGTCTCACCCCCCTAGGTCTCACCCCCCTAGGTCTCACCCCTTAGGTCTCACCCCCCTAGGTCTCACCCCCCTAGATCTCACCCCCTAGGTCTCACCCCCCTAGGTCTCACCCCCCTAGGTCTCACCCCCCTAGGTCTCACCCCCCTAGGTCTCACCCCCCTAGGTCTCACCCCCCTAGGTCTCACCCCCCTAGGTCTCACCCCCCTAGGTCTCAACCCCCTAGGTCTCACCCCCTTAGGTCTCACCCCCCTAGGTCTCACCCCCCTAGGTCTCACCCCTTAGGTCTCACCCCCCTAGGTCTCACCCCTCTAGGTCTCACCCCCCTAGGTCTCACCCCCCTAGGTCTCACCCCTTAGGTCTCACCCACCTAGGTCTCACCCCCCTAGGTCTCAACCCCCTAGGTCTCACCCCCTTAGGTCTCACCCCCCTAGGTCTCACCCCCTAGGTCTCACCCCTTAGGTCTCACCCCCCTAGGTCTCACCCCTCTAGGTCTCACCCCCCTAGGTCTCACCCCCCCTAGGTCTCACCCCCTTAGGTCTCACCCCCCTAGGTCTCACCCCCCTAGGTCTCAACCCCCTAGGTCTCACCCCCTTAGGTCTCACCCCCCTAGGTCTCACCCCCCTAGGTCTCACCCCTTAGGTCTCACCCCCCTAGGTCTCACCCCTCTAGGTCTCACCCCACTAGGTCTCACCCCCCTAGGTCTCACCCCCCTAGGTCTCACCCCCCTAGGTCTCACCCCTCTAGGTCTCACCCCCCTAGGTCTCACCCCCCTAGGTCTCACCCCCCTAGGTCTCACCCCCCTAGGTCTCACCCCCTAGGTCTCACCCCCCTAGGTCTCACCCCCCTAGGTCTCACCCCCTTAGGTCTCACCCCCCTAGGTCTCACCCCCCTAGGTCTCACCCCCCTAGGTCTCACCCCCCTAGATCTCACCCCCCTAGGTCTCACCCCCCTAGGTCTCACCCCCCTAGTCTCACCCCCCTAGATCTCACCCCCCTAGGTCCCACCCCCCTAGGTCTCACCCCCCTAGGTCTCACCCCCCCTAGATCTCACCCCCCTAGGTCTCACCCCCTTAGGTCTCACCCCCCTAGGTCTCACCCCCCTAGGTCTCACCCCCCTAGGTCTCACCCCCCTAGATCTCACCCCCCTAGGTCCCACCCCCCTAGGTCTCACCCCCCTAGGTCTCACCCCCCTAGATCTCACCCCCCTAGGTCTTCCCCCCCTAGGTCTCACCCCCCTATGGTCTGACGCCCTATGGTCTCACGCCCCTGCATGAGCACATGGCCATTCCCCTCTGCGCACCTGCGTCCAGCGCATGGAAGAACTTCTCTGTCACGAAGCCCCTCTCCTCGCGTGACTCTATAACAAGGTTGAAGAGGTAGTGTGACTGCACGCAGTGCAAGTGGTCCCACCAGTCCTTGTGCCCCCCCCCGCGCATCCCCGCCCCTGCGTCCTCCTCCTCCTCCCAGCTCTCCTCACTCCGCCCCCACACACCCCCCCCACCAAAGCGTATCCCTCCAAGGCGTATCCCTCCAAGGCGTATCTCTCGCATGCTCATTGGCCGCCTTGGGCGCTCTTCAGCTTGTTCAGTCCACTCTGCTGCCTCCTCCCCTCTCCCCCCCCTTCCCCCCACCCCCTCCCCTCCTCCTCCTCCTCCTCCTCCTCCTCCTCCTCCTCCTCCTCCTCCTCCTCCTCCTCCTCCTCCTCCTCCTCCTCCTCCTCCTCCTCCTCGTTCCTCCACCACTCGCATTGCTTCTGCTGTTGCTGCAGACTCAATCACGCCCTCCCCCTCACTCTCTTTGGCCCCCCTCTCCTTATTCTCACCTACGCCCTTCCCCTTGCTCCCTCCCCCACCGTCCGAGTCCACCCTCTGACCGTGCATGCCTGCATACCTGCTCACAGGACGTACAGGGAATAGGGGGGCCAGCGGGCGCAGAGAACAGCACAACTGGTCAAACAAAGTCGCCGCTGCCTGTGCTGTGCTCCATGTCACACGCAGCACAGGCAGGCACATCACCTTGCTATCTAGCTCACACCGGCACATGCTGTATGTATCGAGCACTCACCGGCACATGCTGTATGTATCGAGCACTCACCGGCACATGCTGTATGTATCGAGCACTCACCGGCACATGCTGTATGCATCGAGCACTCACCGGCACATGCTGTATGTATCGAGCACTCACCGGCACATGCTGTATGTATCGAGCACTCACCGGCACATGCTGTATGTATCGAGCACTCACCGGCACATGCTGTATGTATCGAGCACTCACCGGCACATGCTGTATGAGCACTCACTGGCACATGCTGTATGTATTGAGCACTCACCGGCACATGCTGTATGTATCGAGCACTCACCGGCACATGCTGTATGTAGCGAGCACTCACCGGCACATGCTGTATGTATCGAGCACTCACCGGCACATGCTGTATGTATCGAGCACTCACCGGCACATGCTGTATGTATCGAGCACTCACCGGCACATGCTGTGTTTATCGAGCACACACCGGCACATGCTGTATGTATAGAGCACTCACCGGCACATGGTGTATGTAGCGAGCACATCGGCGTCATCCTCCTTCATGTTGTTGGTGCGGCTGCCAATGCTGTGCGCCATGCGCCGCACCACCGCTCCAATGCGCTCGCGCCAGGAGGACGGCCGAGATGCAGCGTGGATGAGAGGAGGACCCTGCGGCAGGCAGGGACGGGATGGGCAGGTGGGGGACGAAATAGGCGAGGTGGCACGAGGGGGCTCGAAACAGAGATGCACAGCTTGCACGAGGTCATGCCACGCCACCCCCACGCCACGCCACCCCCACACCATGCCACCCCCATGCCTTGCCATCCCACGACACCCACCTTCCTCTTGACCCCAGACACGTGTCGGTTGCGGTCAGCATGCTCCAGCTGCCCCGCGTACGTCACCTGCACATCCGCATCCGGGCCATACCCTACTGTCACATCCGCACCACCACTGCTGCTGCCACTACCACCATTATCACCAGCACCACCACCATCAGCAGCCCCATCAGCAGCACCATCAGCAGCACCATCAGCAGCACCATCAGCAGCACCATGAGCATGAGCATGAGCATGAGCATGAGCATGCTGTGGCGGTGCGTCCGTGGCCACATGTCCCTCCATGTCCATGCGCACAACAAGGGGCCGACCTCCCTCCTCCTTGTCGCGCTGCTGGTTGCTCATATTTCGGGGCAACTCGCCCTCGTAGAGCAGCGCGTGCGGGGAGGCGGCGAGGGCGGCGCTGCGGGAGAAGGAGCAGGAGAGGCGGCACGGGCAGGCGAAGAGCCCGTCCAGCCAGTCAGGCACGGAGGGCGAGGAAACCACCTGGAAGGAAGGGAGAGGTGAATGGAAGTGAGGGGGAGGAGCAAAGCTAAGGAGAGTCAAAATGGTGGATACCTGATAACAGCATGTGGTATCGGTAAGAGTCTAGACGACATGTGAACGGCTAGAGAAAGGCTGAGACGGTTATGGCATGCAGTCTAGCCTCTGGACGAGTGGACACACGCACGGACGCATCACAGGAATCTGGCCTTTCTGTTGGCAGCACCTGAATCGTGACATGAGGCAGCCTGAGAGCCGAACACGGTGGAGAGGACGCATCCTGGAAGCTGCTGCTCTCGGGCCACGTGGCATTCTGGTACTCGGCAATCAAATCTGGATGCCCTCCTCCCCATTCCCGCCCCCCCCCAACACCCCCCCCCCCTCTCCCCCCCCATCCCCCAGACACCACACACACACACGTGCAAAGGAGCCAAGCACATAAGATCTTATTAATATGATTTGACTTTTCATAGAAGCTTCAATCGAGCTACTATTTGACAGTCTAGACCACCCAAAGGCGCCGAACCTGCGTGCTTGGATCGGAACGCGGCGCATCCCACGGCCTTATCCCACGCCGCCCACGCCTCGTCCATGTCCATCGCTCTGCCGAGCCACGACTCCTTACTTCGGGCGACGCTGCCGAGCCTCACCCGGAGCTCCGGATCCGACAGCTCCGGCGGGCCACGTGGCAGCTTGAGACTGGCCGCATCGATCGCATCCCCTTCCAAGTCATAGTTATCGATGCGCGGGTCGGGTTCTGGGGGGAGCTGCGCTAGCGAGGGGATCGTAGGCGGGTCCTTGTTAGTAGGCCATCTAAGGCGCGTCGCGGCGAACTCGCGTCCTATTCTTAACAGCGACCCGAAGAGGCGCTCCGACTGCGCCGGATGCGCGGAGGAAAGGAGGAGGACCAGGCCGAGAAAGACGGCGGCCCTTGCGGCGGAAATCCCGGCAGCAGCGGGGGACCATGTGGTCATGACTAATAGTACGCAGGGGCGATGTCATGGTGACGTGGCATTGCGCGCTTGCTGGCTGACGCGTGCCAGGTGGGCAAAATGTCTCAAAGCTGGTTGCTCACAAAAAGTGAATTTGTTGGAGACGTTTCTCTAGACACAAATTCACGTGCACGGGTCAGCTGTGTGAATTTCATATCCTTCAGCGGGCAAGCGAGCGACAATGGGGTTCGCCAGGGTCGATGAGCCGATCGCCCATTCGTCGGAGGTGCGACACCACGGGCGACCGCTGTCTGTGTGACACATTCGCGTCCCGCTGTCCTCGCTACGTGAACCACTCGCGTCGCAGTGAATAGCCCGCCTTCCACTCTTCGTCAGTCCGCACAGCATGCTCCGCCATGCTCGTCGTACTAGTCGCCGCCGCGCTTTAAGCTTCCGCCGGCATGCCGCCCCGCGGCTCCGCTCAGTCCCCGCGCCCCACCGGTAACTCTCCCCCGTCCGCCCTCGCACTCCCCCTCTTCTCCGCGCGCCCCTTCCTGCTCGGCGCGGCCGTCGCGCTGCTACTCTCGCAGGCGGCGCTGCTTCTCCGCCTCTCCTCCCCGCTCTCCCCCCTCCGCGTCCCCCCATCCCGCGATGCGCTCTACCCCAACTCAGCGCCGAGCCTCCGATCCGCGGATGCGGGAGGCTCGGCAGCAGGCTCGGACGACGAGGGGAGCGGAGAAGCCGCCGTGGAGTCGCAGGGCGACGGCGACCAGTCGCAGCTACAGTCGCAGCAGCAGTCGCAGGACATGGGGGCGCTGCGGAATGTGACGGAATTAGCGCAATGGGCGGCGGAAATCGCGGACGCGCTGGCTGCAGTGTTCCCCGAGATGCTGGAGTGAGCGGGGAGGGAGGGGGGGGGGGGTTGGAGTGGGGGGTTAGGGGAGAGGACAACTCGGCGGGGAGTGGGGGAGGAGCATGAGGCATTAAGAGGCGTTGGCGCATGCGAGGTGGAGGAGTGGGCTGTTGGGAATGGTGTGATGCAGCATGGTGCTGCACTCTGCACGGTGTGCCATGCTGTGCCACCCTGTGCTGCATGTGCATCCCTGCATAGCAGCAGCACCACATGGATCATGGCAACCCATGGCATGTCAGCAAATGGCAACCCATGGCATGTCAGCACATGGCACTAACCTGCCTTGTGTCTTGTCATGCCCATGCCTCATGCCCCATGCCCCATGCCCCATATGTGTGGCCGTGCCGTGCCGTGCCGTGCATGCAGGTCGCGTGATTCCTTTCTCCAGCGCCTCTTGAAGCCATACCCGCAAGGTAGCATGAGTGCCGGCCCGTGCTTGGTGTCATGCCAGTCCCACACACCCTCCTGCCACTCCCACACACCATCATGCGCCTCTCTTCATCGAAACTTGCACCTGCCATCATCTGTCCCACACATCCTCACTCCTCTCTCCCTCTTCCCCCCACTCCTCTCTCCTCTTCCCCCACTCCTCTCTCCCTCTTCCCCCCACTCCTCTCTCCCTCTTCCCCCCACTCCTCTCTCCCTCTTCCCCCACTCCTCTCTCCCTCTTCCCCCACTCCTCTCTCCCAAACCAACTCCTCCCCCCCTACACCCCTCGCCTCCGGGCCGCAGATACACCTGCCCCAGTGGCCACCTGCTCCATCCCCCAGCAGCGGGACCCTGATGCGCGCATGCTGGCAGGCGTGACTCGCAGCATCGAGGCCGCTGCCATTGCCCTCGCATGCTCCAACGCCACCCTCTCGCGCTCCTTCCGCCGCTCACTCTGCCCCGCGACTAGCAACAGCGGTGGAACGATAGATGGCAATGGCGGCAGGAACAGCAGCGCATTCTCGGCAGGTAATGGGACTGACCAGCCCGACCCATACGATGCTGCCGGCCGTGCCAGGCTGGCCCACGTGCTCCTCTCGCTCCACCAGTCGTCCTCCTCCACGTGGCTCCCTCCCTGGCTCTCTCGCCTCCTGCCCACGTGGCTGCATCCCATTGGCTGGAGCGGAGCTGGCAGCAAGCACAGGTATTGGCTGGGCAAGCTGGGGGAAGAATGGGCGGCGGAGGGGGAAGGGAGAGGAGGGGAAGGAGGGGAGGAGGAGAAGGGGGAGGGATGGTGGGGCCATTGACCTAGGGGTGGGGGGAAGGTGGCAGTGGGGCTGGGTCAACGTAGGCCAGGAAGTCAGAGAAGTCAGACAAGTCAAGGCAGTCACACAGGGGATGAGCGAGGGAGGTGGAAGAGCAGGGGGGGTAGCAGGGGGGCCAGCGGGGGCGGCCATGAGAGTGCAAGTGGCAGGGGTAGCGTTAGCGAGGCGCGGGAGGGCGAGTGGAGGTTCTTCCTGTCAGCCATGGCGTTCAACCGTGCTGCTGCCGCTGCTGCTGCGACTGGTGGTGCTGGCGTGTGGTCGGAGCAGTGCCAGGCTGCTGCGTTCTCCACCTTCCAGGTGCGCGCTTCACTCAAAGGAGGGGTGCTGGCCCTGGGGGTAGTGGCCCATGGGTTAGTGGCTCGAGGCATAGTGGCCCAAGAGATATTGTTCCACAGAGTGGTGTCGCGGAGGGAGGGTCGTGTCCTTACATTGGGTAGAGTACGTGCGCTATGCCGACGTTGAGCACATCTTCTGGTACGACTGTGCCTTGTGCGCTCACACACTTATGTGGTTGCTCCTTCTTCCCCACTCCCACTGCGGCTCCTTCTTCCCTTTCCCCCATCTCCAGTGGATCGAGTACATGCGGTATGCGGGTGCAGAGCACGTGTTCTGGTACGACTGTGCTTGCAGCGACGCCGAGAGCCAGGCGACCACCCTCTCTCTCTACTCACATGCAGGGCTGCTCACCTACCACCGCCTGCACCACATAGCGCCTCCCCCTGCCGGTGCTGACTACCACTTCGACCAGGATACCTCCCTCTCGCACTTCCTCCAGGTGACATGCCCTCCCTTAATTCCCCTCCTGCGCTGCCTCCTCCTCTGTCTGACTTCATTTGAGTCGACTCAAAATCTGACTTCACTCGCACTTCACTCCACGCCCTCTTGTACCTCGTGTAGTTTGAGGTCTGTTAAAGCCATGCTTTTAGTCATCCCCCCCTCCTTTTAGTCATCCCTCCCCCTCCCCCCCCACCTCTTCCCCCACGCGTGGTGATCTATTCCCCCCAGCACCACCGCCACGAGTCTAAGTGGGTGGCCTTTGCTGACGTGGACGAGTACCTCTTCATGCCGCCCGACACCCGCCCCTTCTTCCTCACGCGCCTCCTGCTGCGCCGCCCCTGCGCCGCCCAAAACTCCGGTGCAGGTGGCAGCAGGAGTGGCGACAATTCTGTGCGGTTAGGCACTGGTGAAGGGGCAGGAAGAGGAAGAGGAGAGGGAGAGGGGAGCGAGGGGGAAGGCGAGAGGCCACACAGGTGAGCTACCACTACCCTTTCCAGACATCACCGTGTGCAGGCCTCAACAGCCTCAACAGCCTCCTATCGTCTCCACGCCACTGCATGTATTCTCCCCTGCCCTCCACTCACCACCGCCCTTCACTCACCACCGCCCTTCACTCACCACCGCCCTTCACTCACCACCGCCCTTCACTCACCACCTCCCTTCACTCACCACTGCCCTTCACTCACCACCGCCCTTCACTCACCACTGCCGTCTCACCTTCTCCCCTTTCTGCCCTCCCCCACCTCGCCCCCTCCCCACCCTCCAGATCCTAGTCTACAACCAGTTCTTCATCGGCTACCCACGCCCTCCCCCGTGCGCCTCACTATAGAGCGATTCATCCACCGCCCGCTGCGCCCGCCCGACCACCACGACCGCCTGCGCGCCAAGCTGCTGCTGCAGCCCGCCGCCGCCCTCGGGTTCCTCTCCAATGCTCCCCACCGTGCCCTCATGCACTCGGGAGAGACCTTAGTGGCTGATCCTGGTTTGATACGGGTGAATCACTACTGGGGTGCAAGGGGCCTGCTGGTGAATGCGAGTGAGAGGGAGAGGGAGGAAGTGGAGGATGGGTCGATGGAGGATAGGAGCATGCAGGTTATAGCGGATGTGATTAAAGAGAGGTTGAGGTGGGTGTTGCCGGTGCTGCCGGTGCTGTGTGAGAGGGAGGCGGTGCGTGCTGCTATGGTGGACGCTCGGAGGTTGGCTGACAAGCTGCAGCAAGCAGTGAGGATGGAAAATGGGTGATGATGAGCAGTTGTAATTGTGCACAAATATTGTGCATTGTTCACTCTCAGATGCGGGTCTACACACGTAGTGCATCCGACATGATACCGTATCTTCGCTGTGTACTATGTGCATGTTAAAGAACTAGTAGGATTCATTAATCGTAGCACACCTACCAAGCCTACACAAATATATACATAAAATATATAATTTGACACACCCCCTAGGCTTGGTAGTCTAAAGCCCACCCCATACGCAACACCCCCAAACCCTTGCACCCCCTGGCCCTTCAGCAGCTGTGGCGTCTACTAACGGGTCGACCCCTCGGCAATCGAGGAGGCGATGTCGACGGCGGGTCGCAGCGGTGGCGGCGTCGGCAGGGCTTGCAGCACCTGCGGCGGTGGCGGCGGCGTCGAGGCACCAGGTGGCGGCAGCGGCGACGCCCGAGGCACCCGGTGGCGTGGCTCACACTGCGACGATGAGGGGGAAGGACGGCACGAGGCCGCCAGCAGCTGCGGCGGGGAGGAGGGGAAAGGCAGAGGAGGAGGGGCGGGTGGGGGAGCGCGGGGGGGGGGGGGGGGGGGGGGGCGAATCTTCAGCGAGGAGCCATGGCGCGGCGCTTACTGGCGTGCAGGCGAGATGGACGGCGCTAAAACTGGGCAATGGCTGCTGCCGTCCGTGCATTGGCGCATCGACGCCGCCACAGCAGCACAACGACTCCACCACGGCGTGACTTCGACGCCCCGGCAGCGTGTCGAGGCTCCCACGACAGCACGACCAAGCCGCCATGGCAGCACGACATGACTGCCACGGCGGCGCGAAAGAGACGGGAGGGGGAGAGTACGCTGCGGAAGCGAGAGGAGAAGGCCTGAGCGGAAGGGATTGCTCTGAAACCATGTTGAAGAACTAAGGAGCTAGGTAGGCAAACATATACCTAAATATTGTACTCTCTAGAAGGTGACCCTATACAGTCTATACAAACATGATAACTACACATGTTTGACACACCCCCTGGACTGCATAGGGGAATGTTCTAGACAAGTAGCTCAGAGTGGCACTACTAGTCCAGCCTCTGAGACAAGGGTCTAAAAGACCAGTCAGAAGGAGTACAGACAAGGCAAGAACGAGTACAGGGCGGCACTACTAGTCCAACCACTGTGAGAGGACACAAGTCCAGTCTGAGTGTATACATATATATATATACGACAGTACAAAGTCAAGGCCCGAGTAAGTGAGAGACTACAGGAACCAGACCAAGCTGTAAACAGTGCCGCTGATGATCTTTAGGCGCAAGCGCCTTCGTAAAGATATCAGCTGTGTTGGCACCGGAGGCCAAGTGTACTACGCGAGCCTGGCGCCGCTGCTGTAGCTCGCGCAGGAGGAAGTACCGCAGCTGGATGTGCTTCGCTCTGCCCTCGAGTCGAGGCTCCTGACACAGGAGAATCATGGCCCTATTGTCAGCGTACAGGACCGGGGCAGAGCTAGGCCGCTCACCTAAGTCAGTGAGCAAGAAGGTCAGCCAGCGGAGCTCCTGTGCCGCCATGGCACCGGCGTAGATCTCAGCCTCACAGCTGGACTGGGCAACCGACGAGGAGCGGGTAGCTCTCCACGAGACAGCACCTGAGCCAAGGCTAAAGCAGTAGCCCTGGGAAGACCTGAGCGTCTCGGCGTCGTCTGCCCAAGAAGCGTCTGTGTGTCCAGTAAGGACCACTGGCCTGCGTCCGCCTAGCACTAACCCCATGCCCGATGTACTTGCAAGATAACGCAAAACCCTCTTAACGGCAGACCAGTGCTGAGGTCGGTGTCTGCCTGTGGCCACAAAACGAGCCAGGATGCTGAGAGGGTATGCGAGATCTGGGCGAGTGCAAGTCATCAGGTACATGAGGCAACCCACTAGCTCAGCGTAAGGACCACTGGGATCTACCGACTCCTCAGGAACTGGAGCGGAGAGTCTGTGGTCCAGAGGAAGAGGGGTGGGCTGTGCGGAGGAGAACTGAAGGCCGAACCTCTGAAGGACCTGGCGCACCAAGTGTGACTGAGTCAGGGTGATGGTGCGCGCGGCTCTGTCCCTGGAGATCTGCAAGCCAAGGTAACGGCGCAGCTCTCCAAGGTCAGTGCAGGTGTGTCTCTTCAGCAGCTCAGCCTTCACGGAGGCCAGTGCGTCCCTGTCAGCTGTGGCAAAGACCAGGTCGTCTACGTAGACGAGGATGTAGAACGGAGTCGAGCCAGCACGAACGAAGAGCGAGGGGTCTGCAGAGGACGGAAAGAACTGCAGGTCAGCAAGAGTAGCACGCAGCGTGTCGTGCCACTCACGAGGCGCCTGGCGCAGGCCGTAGACTGGGCGCCGCAGAAGCCACTGGGTCCCAGGGGGGAAGGTGCCAGTAAAGCCCTGAGGACGACGCAGGTAGACCTGCTCGTGAAGGCTGCCCTGAAGAAAGGCAGTGGAGAAGTCGAGGGAGTGAAGCTCGTAGTCACGCTGAGCCGCTACGTGTAGCAGAACCCGAAGAGTAGTCATCTTCGGGGTAGGAGCGAAAGTCTGAAAGAAGTCCACCCCCTCGCGCTGACTGAAGCCTCTAGCCACGTAACGCGCCTTGAACACAGGCGGCTCTCCAGGAGGGCGCTTCACCTTGAAAAGCCAACGGCCATCGACCACGTTCACCCCAGGTGGGGGAACTGCGTCGACGAAGGTGCCGGTGGATCTCCAAGATGCCATCTCCTGCTCCATGGCAGCTATCCACTGAGAGGCCCAAGGTCCCGAAACCGCCTCAGCGTAAGTACGAGGGGTCGGGATGTCAAAAGCGTCTGGGTCACCCTCAGGGACTAGCAGCATGGAACAGAGATGGGGAGCAGCCTCGGACAGGAAAGCAAGCTCGAACTGGCGGTCCTCCAGGACGTCACTGCCGAGGGCAGGAGCACCCCCGACAGACGGAGGACAGGCAGGGTCAGAGACCAGAGCGGAGGCGTAGTCAAGGCGGCGGGTAGAGGCGAAGTCAGCGACCGCAGCGACAAGGGCGTCAAGACTCGACACTGGAACAGACGGGTCGGTAACGAGAGAGGCAAGGACCCGAGGAACAAGAGGACGAGCGGCACGAAAGTAGTCAGACAGAGGAGGAGACGCAACGACAAGAGAGGACGGAGGAGGAGACGGGAGGAGGGGAGGACGAGACGCGTGGGAGCGGAGCAACATAGGGTGAGTGCGCGGGACGGGGGAGACAGGACGAGCACGGGAGGGGCGGCGAGACCAGACGTGAGAGGGCGGCGTCGGGTCAGGAGACAGAGGAGGGGACACGGGTGGGGAACGAGGGGGAAAACGAGCCGGGGACGAGCCCGGCGGAGGGAACACAGGGCCGTAGACGGGAAGAGGGGGAGACGGCCGGGGAGGAACAGGCGCAGGGTCAGGGGACGGAAGGCCGAGCAGACGGAGGGCGGACACCGGCGGGGACTGCTGCTGCGGCAACACAACACCAACGCCAGGGCCACAAGCTGCGCGACGGCTACCTCCCGAACCCTCCACACCGGCACCCCCAGAAGGGACACCACCAGAGCCCGAAACACCGCCAGCACCGGTACCACCCCCAGGCCCGCCGGGACAAGCCACGACAGGAGCCCCGGGAATAGTACCCACCTCAACTCCAGCACCCCCAGAGTCCACAAACAGCGGCAGCGACGACGGCGGCGGCGGCGGCGGCGGCTGCAGCGACGGCCTCGACGGCGGCGGCGGCGGAGACGACGGCTGCAGCAGCTGCGGCGACGGCGGCTGCGGAGGCGGTGGAGGAGGAGACACCGGGGGAGGGACAGACGGCGAGGACTGCGCCAAAGGACTACCAGAGTCAGAAGACTCGTCGACCGGAACGACCGACGGGAGGGGGGTGACGTGAGACACACCAGAGGGGGTCGGACGGGGGGGCGGGGGGGGGGAGGGGCAGGGGCCACCAGGGAGGGAGGAACCAGGAACAGGGGGGAGTAACCGGGGGACCACGGTGGGGAAAGCGGCGGAAGAAGGAGACGGACTCGTCAAAGGTGACGTCGCGAGAGTGAAAGAAACGGTGAGACGGCGGGTGGTAGAAGTGCCAGTCGGACGCGTCAAGGGGGAAACCGAGGAAGACGCAGGGGAGGGTGCGGGCAGTGAGCTTGTCCGTGCCAGAGGCACGAACGTGAGCAAGGCAGCCCCAGACATGGAACGCAGACGCGTCACCAGGGGACCCGGTCCACAGAAGGGTCGGCGAAACCTGCGGCCGCTGGGGGTGCGGCCACAGGTTAAGCTGGTGAGCGGCGTAGCGCACGGCGAACGGCCACTGAAAATGGGGTGCACCGGCGTGGATCATGGAGGTGCGAGCCACCTCCATGACCAAACCGATGCGTCGCTCAGCGACCCCATTCTGCTGCGGGGAGTCCGGCAGGGTAAACGTCTGGGTGATGCCCTCCGCACGACAGAAGCGACCAAGGACACCTGAGGCGAACTCGCCACCCCGGTCGGAGTGGAGGCGCAAGGCAGGGAGACCGCGGTGGAGACGAGCAGAGACAAGCCAGGGGATGAGAACGTCAGGCACGTCGGCCTTCCGCTCCAGGGGAAAGACGGTGGTGTAACGTGTGAAGTCGTCGACAAGCACTAGGAAGAAGCGCTCGCGACGCGGCCCATGGACCGGGGCTGGGCCCCAGACGTCCATGTGCAGAGTCTGCAGGGGTGCGGTGGTAGGGGGAAAAGAGGAGGAGTGAGGGGCACGGCGGAGCCGGCCCTCGACACAAGGCGTGCACGGTGGGGCGGGGGATGAGGGAAACTCAGGGAACGAACCGGGGAGACCAAGGACGAGACCGTGCTGGGACATGTGACGCAGACGCGGGAGTGCAGGGTGACCAAGGCGGTGGTGCCAAAGGAGAGTCGGATGAGTGAGGGACCGACAGGAGCACGCAGCAGCAACCTGGGTGGACGCAGCTACCTGGGGGGAAGACCCAGCCGGGGACGTCGCGGTGTCAAGTGTGAACAGGCCGGACACCGGGTCCCGGGGGAAAGTGGTAAGGGGGGCACCAGTGGCGGCCTCGGTACAGACAGCATACCGCTCGTGACCAGGGAACGTAGTGGTGACGCCAAGGTCCTGGAGGCAGCCGACACCAACTAGGTTCCTGGAGAACGAGGGGATATGCAGACCGGTGAGCGAACCTGAAGGAACCGCCGGACAGGGAAG